CTCTTTTTTTCCTGTCCTTCTTTTTGTGTTGCTGTCCGTCGCTCAGCTTTCCAGACAGACAGACCCTCAGGGAGGTCTTGAGGGTGGAGGGCAAGCATGTATTCATTTATTCCACATCTCTCTCTCTCTCTCTCCTTCAGTCTTTGACGTGCATCCTCACAGTTGGAGGTGGTAAATATTTAAAGAGGAGGCTTGACAGAGCCCAGCCCTTATAAACACAAACTGTACAGACGACTTTCACTGGATAAACACTCTTAGTGCAATACCGTGGTTTAGGAAAACGGCACGGCAGAACGCAGGGTATTGTTTGAAGAAAGCGCCTGTATGTAGATTAATATTTGCACTTTGTCTAATTTTAAATGTGTTCTAGAATACATTCTCACTAGTTGCTTGAGGGTGCAGGGGAAATAATTATGCAAGCAGTAGATGATTTTAGAACAGATAAGGGATATTACATCTCAGAACAGTGAAGTCTACATGGTCTCCTGCTGGTTTTTCTTGTAGCATGTATAATCAGAGGTCGTTGTGATCTTTTGTTGACCCTGGAACAACAATCCTGTTCAAAAATAGAGTTCTAACCCTATCACCATACTTAATAAACCTAACTCTACCCATAACTTATCCCTAAAATCTGAGGGAAATGATAGGTGAATAACACTGATGTTGAAGCACCTAACCCTGCTTGTAAGCCTAAACTTGACATTAACCGTAAACCTATCCCTCAAATTTGATAGGTTGATTTGAATATTGTTCCAGAATCAACAAAGATGTTGATCCAGGGACATGCTTTACTTGGTGAAAGACTCTTTGTTTGTAACTGGCGCTTTTACTACATCCTCTCAAACAATGTGTGGTTATTTATGTTGTAGATATTGGCCCAATATTAATATATACTACTGTAAAGAAATTTGCGGTCTGTAAAAATTTGTCAATGTTAAAAGAATTTTGTTTGAAAGAAAGGCTCACAAAGGCTTCATTTATTTGATCAAAAAACAGTAAACATTTTTATTTTATTTTATTGCCATTTAAAATAACTGTTTTTGGATAACCTTAGGATCAAATAAGAGCAGGATTTACTCTTCTAGAATCCCACTATAATCTCTGACATGACCGAAATAATGATAAGGGAAGAAGTTTAGCTTTCAGCTCCAAGTTGGTCCACTGATGACTATATAACACATAAGAACTGCCATTTTCTTGTTTGAATGTTCTTGTGTTTAGAAGCTTAAAAATTGACTGTCATTTTTAGAAGCTGTGATCCACATAACCTTTGCTGTGATTACATCCAAAACAATAATTTTCTGTGATGATATCATTCACATTTACACTGAAATTCACTGAGTGAAGTGTTATGCTCCATTTCGCAAAGATAATTGTTTGTTTTTCAGTTGCTTCAGGGTTGACATTACAGAGTTTGTTTATGTGGAATGCTGCATCAATTCTCAGCGTCGCTGAAAGCATGGTATGTTTATTATGACTATATTGTTTTTTTTGTTTGTTTTTTTTTAGCATGCACATCTGTTCTACGGAAACTACATAATTGCCTTCGGTTCCCGTCCGCTACAGGGAATCAGTGACGTTTAGTCTACGACCTTAGGTAATGAGGCAGGTGACAGGATTAGATACTATCAACAACAGCTGCACAGCATCGCTGAGAGACCCTGACCATTGTCAATCTCTCTCACATCAACAATAGAGGCCATGTAAGCCGTGATAGACATGGTTCTTATCAGCACGTTGGGGTTCAAGTAGTGCCTGGAGCTCATTTCATGGAAATGAGACACTCCCCTTCAGTTCCACACACTATAAACCCCTCCTTTTCTGCTCTATTCTCTGCAAGCCAGTCATGCCTGACTTGGTCACCTAGTTAGCGGGAACTGCTTGATCACATGTTACTGGGTACTTATTTGATTGGCGGCTGGCTCCCTTCGGAGCAGAAGTGTGACGGGCCTAATCGGACTACGCTCAGCACCTCTCAGTGCCAATGAAATCCAATGAAGGCCCGACTCGATTCATCCTCATTTGATGGCATTTGTTAAAGGCCAACGGAGGCTTACCTGGCATCTAATTGGCTGCTTACACATCCCCCTCCCCCTCTGATCGGTTAATACTAATATCTCTGAGTCTAGAGGATGAAAGGTGCCTGATTGATTTGGGCAGCTGTGTGATTTAATGGAGGAATGGATTACTGTCTTGGCTGTCATCTTCTTTCACCCCTTCCACTCCTCCTTTTTTTCTCTCCTCTTGCTTTCACCAAGAGATTTGCAGGCACAGCGCTGATATGAGGTGACTCTTGTATTTCATATAAGAGGTAACTGTGCTTAATGAGCCACGTAATCCGAGATTGAGGCGCTACACCAACATTATGTGTTTGATCTTCTATATGTGACCTGTAAGTAACATTATGTGGGCTCAGATGCTGACTCAAATGTTCCAGTTGCTATAAAAATTCCCATTAAATATTAGTCCTCCTACAGTTGTTTTTCTTGGTTTAAAAGACCAGCATGGTATCCTGTATTTTGGATGCTGGTATTCTCGGGTCAGGCAGCAGGCTTCTTAACTAGTTTAAACAGCAAGATTTTTAACTAAGACATTTTCACCAGCATAAACAATGTATGATATTATTGATATATATAAGTTTATATACAAATATTGGCTGATATATAACCAATATTTCATTGTGCATTGTCATTTCCACAGTTTGTACATGTAGAATTGAACTTTGTTGTCATCTAAAATTAATCTTAAAAACACTTGAGGGTGTAATCTCATCATTTTGCTGACATTTTTGTGGCCTACATTTGTGACAAAATTTTAATAGAAAATGTTGTATTTTTTATTTATTTTTCACAAAATCGTATAGATTTTCGAGAAGCGTTTTGCTGCAGCCTACATTGAACATCTAACCCGGCCCACATCCAAGTGTGACATCAGAAGCCACACCCATGTCCAAATACGTCAAACCAGTTCAGCGGAAAATCTGCCCTGCAGAAACCTACCCATCACTGTAACCTTAACCAATGAAATGAACTGTTCCTCATTAACTGTGAAACAGGAAGACTTAAGTCCGATATTCTTGTCTGAAATTTTCGCAAGTTAAAACATAAATGCGACCTCACGTTGGGTCAGTCAGGTTTACACAATGCCTCCGAAACTTTCGTTCTTCATAAACAAATTCAGAATGGGTCCGATTTTCTGTGTTCGCATCCATAGCAAGCATTTTGTTAGTTATTTTGACAATTCACAGCCACTGAATGACGAATACAGAAAAAGGCAAACGAAAATTTCAGACTCAGTGTGCAAGGACCTTAAACCTAAATGCCTAACTCGTTTTCATTTACTACTTATATTTGTCTTTATGACAGACCGCACTGAAACACACTCTAAACCTACCGTTATACCTAAAAACAAAAAAACCCTTTCAATCAGAAACCTACATACAACAAATCGGGTTTATGGGACGGGATGGGGAGTCACAAAGTGAAGTATTAGATATGGGCGTGGCTTCTAACATCACACTTGGATGTGGGCGGTGTTGGATGTCCACCGCAGGATGCAGCAAGCCCTACTTGGGTTTTTTTCATGCATTTTAAGGGGTCTGCCACTAGGGGCAGCAGAGGTAGCTCGAGAGAGCCAGGATGGCGAGTCTGGCGACCGCCAAAGATGTTTTCTCAGGGGCCTTGTGGGAGTGTGATCCAGCCCTGTGGTGCTTTTCTGCCAGCTAGACCAGCACCAAACCACCATAGACCTTCACAAACCTCTTGGAAATTCATGCAAGTCTGAGCCTTGTGCTTTACTCCTCCTTCAACCTTTCCCTCGGCTCCAAGGTCACTCAGCTGCAGGGCTTGGCACCAGTAGGGTACAGTGGTGCCCAGCTAAAGATATGCATAGCTGCCAGCTGCTGTCAGACACGCTCTACACGAGCTAACAAAAATATCCACCTCCCGTTTCTTATTTTGTTCCATCCCCATTCTCTGTCTTAAGTTTTTATCACAAGTCCTTGGGGAGCTCCGTTTTGTACTGTATTGTGATAAGGCAAGTGAATGAAAAAAGACGATAGCTTGATCCAGTGATAGTGCTGATAAATGGAGCTGCACATGCAGGTCTTTGTGGTGTCATTTGGCAGGCCCAGGTACAGATGGAGAACTCCTCCTGCAGCGTAGCTCAGAAGCCTGTGGCGTGAGCGATAGCTTCTCTAATAGATGCATATCTTTTCCATTAAAAAGGGCTCCTCAAAAGACCCAGATATTGTTTCATATTCATCTTTTTGCTTGCACCGGCCTCCATTCATCATTATCCATTAATGGCATGACCATTAAGACCTTCTGAGATCTTGCTGAGGAAATTCATTGAGTAAATTGCTTTGAGGTCACAGTTGATCTGAGCTTGAATTAAGGACATTTTGCCATGTGGTACTACACATGCTCACTTCATCTATAAAATTGACTGAATGTATTGTATTCTGTTTTCAATTAAGTCAGACTTAATTAGCCACACTAAATATTGTAGTGACGTGATATAGAAGATTTAGCTGATGCAGAATATGTTCATTTTATGACTGATAACTACGTATAAAGCATAAACATTTGAATGTAGGGCAAGCTATAGAAAAAGTTTGAAAAGCTCTTCTATTACTGTTGTTATTATTATTTGAATATTAACTAACAAAAAGTACCATGGTACTACCATAGTTGTTGGACTACCATGGTATTGGAGTACAATGCACTGTTAATAGTATGGTACATGACATTTTTATAATAGTCATTGTGTACCATGGTATTGTCACCTGAAATGATCACTTCACCATGTCACCATTGCATCTTTACAATATTTCCACAACATATCATGCACCTTAATTTCCCAACTCCACCCCTCTCTCTGGCTCTTCTGGCTCCCTCGGTCCTGGGCCATGTTGGATGTCTGAGTGTTTTTTTTTTCCCTCTACGCATGTGGGTCCGCCCTTCCTTCATCACACTCTCTGTCTCCCTCTTCTCTTGCAGTGAGAGTGCATCAGGAGGGTGTGTGGACCTGAGAGAAACATACTGAAAGAAGAAACGGTGAAGACTGCTCTTCTCTGATTGGGATAATTTGAGATTTTCTGGCCCTTTGTGTTTGTGCCTGCCAGCAGGTGCAATGCCTGCCACGTCACTACAGCAGGTGGGCAGCAGGGGGCGATGTGCTGCTCTCCTGCTCCCTCTCCTCCTGCTGTCTGTGGCTCCAAGGCCCGGGGACACCATGATCAACATCCCATCCAAATGTGAGTACAGGATTTGACATTACATTAAATATGTAAGCGCATGGCGAGTGTGTGTGCGCGTGTTTATTTTGTTTGTTTTTTGCATTGATTTTTGCGGTATTATAATGTTTGCTATGGCTTATTATTAGGTGTATGTGACTTAAAAAGTGCAGAATCAGCAGTTATAAGCGAGTTTAATTGCTCAATTGATTATACTATTGACCTGAATGCCTAGTACTGGCCCGATTGGAAAGGACAGTCAAGCGCACAGTGATTGAAACCCACTTGAGCAGGAACTGTAAAAACAGCAGCTGCTACAAGCATCCTAAAGCTGTTAACAGCACTAGGTTTGTTGCTATTATTGTACATCTGCAATTTAAGATTGCAGCCATGTATCAGTGTAACAGAGCATCTCTATTTCCCGCTCCTACACACACACAGACACACAAAGAAGAAGAGGAAAAAGACAGGATTATGAAAACTACACAACAGAAATTCACCATAATGAGATGTCAGTGAAAAGTTAGATCTGCATTAAAATGTCACGATTTCTCTTGACTTTTAATTAGTGACCTTTAAATGGGAAACATAGCCACGATGGATGTGATCATTGAGGTCGATAACACACCCACATTAAAATGTTCAGCCAGCACACACACAGTCTGACCGCGTCCGGCCCACAATATGCTAACGTTCTTTTCCTCTTTCCCTCCCGTATTGCAGTTTTCAGACATTCAGCGCGTTTGTTTTCTTATTAAGTTGTTGGGACTGCAGTATCAAGCAGTCTTGCAAAGGGTGGTTGAAGTCAAAGGAAAGAAAATAGCTAGGGAGGGAGTTTAATTTAGCTCTGCTTTGCCAGCATCTTGTTATCTCTAGTGTGCCTCTTGTTGGCCAGCTGAACTACAGTCCAGGTGTCTGAGTTGGCATCGCGTGTTTTCTTTGTTTCACCTCAAACAGTGAAATCATAACATTTTGGTTAAAAAAAAAAAAAGCCGTAGCCCTCAAACCGTATTCACTTTATAGCCCTTAATCCTGTAATTGTGGACAAATGTGGGCACAGAGGACTCGGGTATGATCCTAATTTTTATTTATTATAAATGTTATATCACTGTCTTCGATAAAGTTTTGTCTATCCATTTATGGTGTTTTGTTTTTATTTTGAGGGTATTTTTGAATTTATTTTCTTCAAAAAGTACCATATTTTCTAGGTAAATTATTTATATGCAAATGAATTACTATGTAGTTTTATTTATTTTATTTTATTTTTAAATAAAAATATTTATAAATTTAAAATATCATTCCAATAAGTTCTTAGAGCTAAAACCTAAAGATGAAGTGACTTTGCTTTCACCTTGTGTCTTATTTTGGCTTTTTTAGAATGCTCTAAATAACAATTTTCCCCATTCATTTCTATGGGTGCCCATTTTCGACCCAAATACAAGATTAAGGAGTTTTTTTTTACTTAACATTCTAAAATTGAGTCAAAAATTTTTTTTGTGTGTTCAGGAGGAAAAGTAGCCAAGTCTTGTACCGCTCAGATCAAGGGAAGTATTTTTTAAAAATAAATCTAAACTATTTTGCCCACATTTGTCCAGAATAAGGTTTTAGGGTTAATACAATCTTAGGTGGTGGTGGGGGGTCCGGTTTTGCCTTCACAGTTGGAGCAAATGTTGTCACGAGGATAGTAAAACCTGATGTCAACAACAAAAAATGTCTTGATGAAAATCTAAAGATGCAAGAAAGTTACTGTGATGGTTAAGAGATAAAAAAAGAAATCAAATTAGAAAATATCTATATCACACAGAACAAATGCGTGTTTATGTGCACTTGCTATACCTCTAAAAATGCCCCTGCAAATACAGTAAACATCTAATCCTCATTAGGGTTAGATGTTGAGAGTTGTAATTAGCTTTACTTATAGGAATAATGGTCATTCTAGACAATCTATGTGTATGTGTTTGTGTGTGGTGTGTACAATATAAGTGCATGCTGTTGGTGTGCATTACTGTACTGTAAACTAAAAATATATTTTTTTCCCTCCCGCTGACTAAATGGACAGACAAAATAAGACACTGTGAGTATTTCCAGCATATGTTTATGCATGTACTGACTCTACTCCACTAACATTTCCCAGACTCATTCCACTAACGGAACACAGCCTGCAGCAAACAGCCCAAACTGATCAGCTGAGATATTTGTTTGATATATTTAGAAGTGTGGGAATCTTTTTTTCTTAAATTGAGGGTGCATTTAAGATAGGAGTCTTTTAAAATTGATTATCTTTGGTTGATGGGTGAGGGGTGGCCATCCCTCCCAGTTAAAATGGTTAATGGCCCATAAAATGGTCCATCACCAAGGATTACTTTCATTTTTGAACAATTTCCTTATTAATCTGTTTTTTTTCTTCTTCTTATAGACAGATAGACAGACAGATAGATAGATGGATGGATGAGGGTATAAGCTGCATAGTAAGGGATCACTGTAACCATTCCCAGACATCAGTGTTGTTATGTGTGCAGTATAAGCACTTGTTTATAGCCTCAGTGACTCTGTCAGTAGATTACATCACTAATGCTTTATGCTCTCGCTGTCTGCCTCTCTTATTCACTCCTCAAGTCTAATTTTCTTCCTGCTCTCCAATTCTTTCACGGGCCACTCATCCGTAAAACAACAGACACTTAGAGAACATCTCGGGTCTCTGCATGCTTTATACCGCACTCTTCATTTCCATCTTTTCACTTGGGAGTTTCTAATGATATGGACGAAATTCCGTTTCCTGGAACTAATCGAGTGAGTGTGTTGGGGAGATTCAGAGGCACCTGCTTCAGAACATTGTTGAGGTTTAGTGGGAAACTTAACTGAAGTCAGCGGCGCTGCGGATCAAGTTGTTTTGAATATTGTGATTACAGCAGGTCAACGGAAAAGGCTGCTTAACTCCTGTGACTAATATGCCTAGTATCATCCACATCTTAAGCTACTAACAAATGAGCTGTTATAGCTTTTTGGAATGTCTATCCTATTTTAAGGGTGTTGCTTTGCTAACGCTACAGTTTGCAGAAATGTACAGGGTAATTGAATGTGATGCACTCTCTCCGCAGTGAAAACCCCCCCAGTGATCACTGCCCAGCCAGAGTCTATCACCACCTTTTCAGCAGATGACATCACACTCACCTGTGAGGCAACTGGGAATCCCCAACCCACGTTAGTATCCATAGCAACACAGTTACATCATTTGGTAACCGTTAATTTGAAGCCTTTATATGTTGTTTTTCTTTTGCATTGTATTCATTCATAAATAATTGTAGCCACAGTTACATAACCAATACCTAGATACACATTTAAACATATTTCCATATGATGTGTTTTAAAGATTTGGACTTTCATGTCTGGTAGTTTAGTCATATGTCTATATGCCATGGAAGACTAGGAGTGTCACTTAAAATAAATGTATTTATTTAATTAAAAAGAATTTGTCAATGTATTAATTCAAAAATAAAAATGCAAATAATCAATTTGTAAAGACATTTTATTTAATTCTTTAGAATTTATTTAGTTTCGAAATGTAGTTATTGTTTACATTTTGTAAAATGTTTTTTTTTAATGATTTTTTAAAATGTTTTTAAAAGAAGAGCTTATGTTCACCAAGGCTGCATTTATTTGGTCAAAATATGGTAAAATATTGTGTAATGTTATGAAATATATAAATATATATATATATATATAAATAAAAAACTGTTTTCTATTTTAATATTTTTATTTATTTATTCTTTACTCCTGTGATGCAAAGCTAATTTTTCAGCATCATTACTCCAGTCAGTGTCACATGATCCTTTGAAACATTATAAATTCCTTTGAAGTCATTTTTGACCAATTTAATGCATCCTTGTTGAATTGAAGTATTAAAGGGATACTTTAAGTTGTTGCAAACCTATATGAATTTCTTTCTTGTTTTGTGTTCAACAAAAGATATTTTGAAGAATATGGGTAACCAAAGAGTTGATCATTAACCATCAACTGTTTGGTTACTAACATTCTTCAAAATAACTTCTAAATAACAGAAGAAAGAAATTACAGCTTTGGAACAACATGAGAGAGAGCAAATGATGATGGATTTCACATTTTTCGGTGAACTTTCCCTTTAGTTTACTGTAATTTTCAAAATGAGTTAAGAGTAGGTTCCAAGAATGAAAAAATGTGTCCATTTGACTAGTGTGGAGTTTTTCCATTTGTATAATGGATAGCATATCAGTCATCCATACCTGAAAGGAAGGAGGAGTGGGAGACTTCCATTCGTTCAATATCAGTCTCTTGGCAACTATCAATCCCAGTTCCAATGGTTGTCGCATTATGCTGAACAAGTCCAGGCTCAGGCTGAAGGGAACTTTGATATGTTTTGGAGTACCTGTCAAATATTTTAGACCAAAAGTTTGCCAATGAATAGCAGCCCCAAAAAGCATGTGACAGTGTACCCTCATATTATGACATATTACGAGAAGTTTCCCTTTAATTCGGACTTTTGAGTGGTGTTTATACAGTACAGGCCTTTTACAGATAATTTATTACTAATCTTTATTACTAATATATATATATACTGTCACTTATTTCTTATCTGTTTTTCGCTAGGTTCCGCTGGGTGAAAGATGGTTTGGAGTTTGACCCCTCTAAAGACCCTGACCTCTCAGTGTCCAGAGATTCTGGGACCTTCTCATTGACAGCCAAAGATGGACCCATCCACCAGTACCAGGGCAGATATAACTGCTATGCATCTAATGAGCTCGGCACTGCCGTGTCTAAAGAGGCTCGTATTATCACAGAGAGTAAGTCACTCTCATTACCTCGACATTATAGAGCAGCACACTTGATTGCCTGTTTGATATCCCTGACATTACCACATGTGGTGAGTTTTCTGTGAAGAGAATCTGGCGCGCAGCAGATAACAGCCCAAAATCAAGCCCCCTGTCATATCCAGAAAATGGCATTTTGAGGAAAATTACAGCTCATTGTGTGTGCCAGTCACTGAAGCGCTTTGAAGAATTCCAGAACGAATATAAATCCAAGGTTGCTTCCCTATCAAACACAACTCTGTGAGCGGCTCATTGTTACAACAACAGCAACACCACATCTATCTAGCAATCTACCTGTCTCCCTTACTCTGTCCCGACCTCTCTGCCAGTTTCCCTGACAACAGTTACCTCAGAAACCAGTGTGAGTCGTGTAAGTGTGTCAGCGGGGACGACCACTCCTGGGATTAGTATGTGCAGGAAGTGAGAGTACTCAGCATGAGCATGGCTAACAATAGCCTGCATATTATGAACTCCACACACAGCTGGTGCTGCTGGACACATTAATATGTGCACCATCACACACGTATTTCATATCATCTCAAGACAATGCATCTTCTAAATAATGTTGTAGTTTTTAATTGCATTCTGGTGTTCCTTTGTTTTGTCAGCTGTGCTGTATATAATTACTTGCTAGCTAATTAGCATACTCATACTCATAATAATTAAAATATCTGAGAATGAGTTTAATGTTATTTTTATTCTTTTACACAACAAGAAGTCTCACTTTGTTAAAAGAAATTATTTCTTTTTTTTTTAGATACAGTAGGATACTATATAAATGAAATAAATGCTGTTCTTTGGAACTTTCTTTTCATAAAAAGAATCCTGAATAAAAATGTGTCACAGTTACCACAATAATATTACACAGCGCAACTTTTTTCAATATTAACAATAAGAAATATTTCTTAAAGCACCAAATTTCTGAAGGATCATGTGACACTAAAGATAGAAATAGAATTAAAATAAAAAAGTTCTTTTAAATTAGATTTTTATTTTATCAAACCCAAACTTTTGAATGTAACTTTAATTCATTCTTTCTCGCAGACACTCCCACTCTACAGAAGGAGAAGAAGGTATCAAAGAAGGTTGAGGAAGGAGAGAGTGTGGTGCTTCCCTGTAATCCTCCTAACAGCACCGTGGCCCCGGTCATCCACTGGATGGACAAAAGTTAGTCTGTTTCTATCCTGGTTTATCCGTGTTAAAGATGAATAACGTCTCAGCAATATCTATATTCAGTATATGAAACTTTTTCTCTTAGGGCTGCGGCATATTCAGCAAAACGAGCGTGTGATTCAGGGTCGCGATGGAAACTTGTACTTCTCTCATGTGACTCCGGCAGACAGCCGAGATGACTACACCTGCAACACTCAGTTTCCCAGCGCATTCATCATCCAGCTCAAAGAGCCCATCAAACTCACCGTTGTCCCCTGTAAGTATCAAGGCAGAGTGGATGCTGACTGTCCTTGACAAACAAGAGCTATGTTTTAAAACTTTAGAGCTGAACAGTTTAAACATTGAGCTATTTTTTAACATACAGTAACACTAAGATTTAATGACTCGATTCAGCAACCAAAGATGTTCTTCTGTACATGTAAAAAAAAAACACAGTTGGGGTGCCTGTGCAGCGATGGACAAAGTATCTATCTATCTCTCTGTCTTAATCCATCTAGTGTCTTTTAGCTGTTTTGCCCAGCTTTAGTCCTGCGTGAACACCCACTTACTGCAGCTGTGATTGTTTATCATGCTCTCTCTCTCTCTCCTCATTTCCCTAAATTATTCTGTCTGTGTCTATAGCTAACTCAGTGGTGCGCAACAGAAGGCCACAAATGATGCAACCCACTGGCTCCCGCAGCTCCTACCTGGTGCTCAGTGGCCAAGACCTAGAGCTGGAATGCATTGTTCAGGGCCTGTAAGTCAAACCTGATCTGGCTGTGTGTGTTTTAGAGTTTCCACTTACTTACTTCAAAAGTGTTCTGTTTGTTTAAATCCTGTTCTTTCCCTCATCAGGCCGACTCCCAGTATCCAGTGGATCAGGAAAGATGGAGTTCTGTCTGAGTCACGCACCTCCACTGACAGTTATAACAGAGTTCTGCGCTTTAAGAATATCTCAGAGTCTGACGCTGGCGAATACCAGTGTACCGCCACCAATCTGCAAGGCATGATCTCTCACACCTACAGCATCACTGTGGAAGGTACAGTATGTTTCACACTGCCAGATCACTTCCTCTGCAGATTTAGATGTGGGGTGTGAACTTGAGGAGATAATTGAGAAGATGACTAAAAAAAGTAATTATTTTTTTACTATTTATACTTTGCTGACGAAAGAAACAACCTCAGTCAGGGTTTACATTGCTCGATTGGTGTATCATTGCTTAATAGAAGCTTATTGCCTATTTAAGTTATGCAATTGTTGCATGAGACCTTTCATTAGTTGTTTGTTTTGTGGTGGTCTAGCTGCCCCATATTGGACGAAAGAACCAAAGAGCCAGCTGTACGCCCCGGGAGAGACGGTCAAACTGGATTGTAAGGCTGATGGCATTCCCAGCCCTGAGGTCACCTGGAGCATCAATGGGAACCTTCTTACTGGTAACGGACTCAGTCAGGAAACATTCCATGTCTTAATCCCGGGTTTCATGATTAAATGAAAAACTTATTAATAAAATCATAAAAGTTTAAATAAAAAATCGAAATATAAAATGATCAAAACATTTTCTCTACGCTCCTGACTTAAGTTTAACCAAGTGTTTAACTGTGTTGTACTCGGGTGACTTCCCCTCAGACCGTGTTGGTTGACGTGTACCTACGCATAAAATGCCTAAGAATTATAGTTACCTGACCTCATCTAACCCCACCTAAGAGTCTCACACTGTGCAGCAATAATCAAACAGACTCCAGACAATGCCTTGAAATATGCTTTAATCACAGCTGGAGGATTTCAGACCAATTTCACAGAGAATCCCACCACCACTAAAAACTAGGGCTGTGCAAAAGTTAATTGCGATTAATCGCATCCAAAATAAAAGTCTGTGTTTACATAGTATATTTGTGTGTGCTGTATATAATTATTTTGTATATATAAAATACACACACATGCATGTATATGTTTAAGAAAATGTGTTATTCCTATATAAAATATTTATATTTATATAATATAGATTATGTATTTATATATATATACAGAATTTAAGCGCAAATAATTCTTAAATATATACATGCATGCATAGGTATTTATATATACAAAATAATTATATACAGCACACTCAAATATATTATGTAAAACAGACTTTTATTTTGGATGCGATTAATCGCAATTAACTTTTGCACGGCCCTACTAAAAACATTTAGGTTTCAAAAGCATAAACTGTATAGACGGGGTCAATTTTCACAAAATCAGAACCCCGAAATCATTTTGTGATTATTTATATTATACAACATTTTTAGGGGTATTAAGGGGTGCTGAATCCAAATATGCTATATATGAAGCTCAAAAATGTCCCAAAATGCCTCCAGCACTTTAAATAAGCACATTTTTAGAAATTCTGTAAATGTAAATGTTAGAAATGTTTAGAAATGTTCTAGTAAATGTTATCCTGCAAGGAAAAAATATTGTTAGTTATGATTAATTTAAAATTCATCACATACACTTACTAAAAGAATATGAAATACTGTGACTTTGCAAATCTGTTGCTAGTGTAAATGATTGAAATATTCACTTAAAAATACTAAACAAAAAAAACCTGCACACCCAAATCAATTGTTGTACGATATTACAATAGGCTGTCAGCTTGGTTGACCGCAATGTTGTTATTAAAATATATTTGTGAGTGTAAAATCTCAGGGGGTACTTAAAATAAATATGTAACCTTTATTCACAGTTTGTGAATCCCTGCCTCAATGTATATTTTGTTTGTATATGTTAAATAATCTTTATCCGTTCAGGTGAGACATTAGAGACATCGGTATAATCTTGATGTAATGAGGTGTCTTTTTTTTTTTGCATAGATATTGACCCAGATCCACGTCGCAGTTTGAAACATGGTGTTCTCACCCTGAAGAATGTGGAACTCAGTGACACTGCGGTGTATCAGTGCAAAGCTGCCAATAAGCACGGATCTATCATCATCAATGCTTACGTCTATGTTATAGGTAAATTCATTTTCGAAAGCAGCTCTTAAAAAAGGCTTTTTTTGTGTTGATATCATAGATTTGTGTGTGTTTTTTTTTTTTTTGCTTCTCTAGAACTGCCTCCCCAGATTCTGACAGAAGATGTACTCATGTACTCCGTGGCAGAGGGACAGACGATTGATCTGGCTTGCGAGACCTTTGGCTCTCCTCGGCCCAATGTCACATGGTAAGACAGACTCGATCCTGTGGGGTGTCCCTTCCACACATGCCAGAACTGCTCTAGCCAGCTGTCCTCATATTGGTGGGGGGAAGCTGCTTTGTGGGGAGTCCATTAGGGCACATGAGCAGAATCACACTCACTAGTCAGCATTTCTAAATATCCGTGTTCTTGGAATATCGCAGATTGCATCCATTAAGAAAAGGCTAAAATGAATATTGTGTGTGTTCACAGGGAGGGCGAGTCCTGGGGCTCACTTATAGCCAACCCAAGGATGAATCCGTTATCCGATGGCTCTCTACAGATCAGTAACGCCTCCCTAAATGACAGCGGCCTGTACACCTGCACTGTCAGCAACAGCAAAATCACCATCACTGCTGAGCTGGCCGTACTCAGTGAGTTTAACATGCATGAATGCTCATGTCTTCACACATACTTGATTTATAACTGGTTTGTCTTCAGACTGTTAGGATCATTTCTTTTCATTGCACTAATGTGATGTTAATGCTTTTATTGAATTCTAATATCATCATACTGCCAACAAACTGCAACAAATATAGTTTTCCAGTAAATTATCAAAATATTCTTAGCAAAATTGCATGCAGGATATTATGCATATTTTAATCATTGTATATTCTAATTATCATGGTCATCATTGAAGTTTATAAGTTATTGATTTTATAAGCAAAATCTGACTGGTGAAAAAATACAATTTAGGATATATTGCCTAAAAAACAGAAAAAAAATTATAAAGTCTAAATTTGAGATAAATTGGCAAGATTTTATTTTGCAAATTCTGTCTTCTAGATAAGACGTTCATTGTGAAACCTCCGTTGGCTCTGCGAATTCAGCGGGGGAAGCCAGCTACCCTCACCTGCGAGTACCAGGTGGACTCCAGGCAGGGCGCCCCTCAAGTCCAGTGGAGGAAGAACCAAAAGAAGCTCACAGAGTCTTCTGATTCAGACAAGTATGCTTTTATACCTTCATATCCCTCAAAATACTTCAGAATGGCTTAGTTTGAACTGTATAATGTGATTTCATGAACACTATTACCCATAAATATCTTAGGTACATGATGGATGAATCAACCCTCATAATACCCGAAGTTGAAGATGACGATGAAGGGAGATACACCTGTGAAGTCATTACCAATCTGGATATGGCAGAAGCAAGTGGCTCCATCACTATCGTTGGTAGGTAACTTTATAAATGGCCTGCTCCCTATAACATGGCCATCTCTAAACCTTACATGTCTGGATCTATATAGCTGCATGTTGTATGATAATGTGACCTACAGAAAGGACAAAGGACATGTTTGGCTGTAGGCAGATTCAAGAAATAACCTTTAAAATCATAGATTCCTAGTTTTAACCGGCATCTTACCCCTTGACCTCTTTGTCAACCCTCATTCACCAGACCGACCAGACCCTCCAACCCAAATACAAATGACCGAACCTAAAGAACGCAGTATCACTCTCAGCTGGACACCTGGAGATGATCACAACAGCCCTGTGCTAGGTACAGTTACAGTATATGTTTTTTTTTTTTTTCTGTTTATGCAATACATACAGTTTGTGTATGCAGATATTTGATACATGTTCATTATTTGAAATTCTTATTGAATTTTTCCCCCTTTAAATGTCAAATGCTGTATAAATTAATGGTTTAACCAAGATTTGAATGTTTTTTGAACACTCAAACCATACTTACAATATTTATATATAACAAAATATCACACCAACAAACCACATTTTCTAAGTTTGCACAGAGATTCCCTTTTTTATCAGCAAAAATGAAAATATTTTCTTCAGGTACACATTTTTCTTCTCTGGTGTTGGTAACTAGTCACTTTGCATACAGTTAAACAAAAAAAAAAGGCTAAATTTTTTTAAAATGAATATTTTACAAAAATACTAAGTGTTTCCTTTTTAATTCGTTTTTATTTAAGTTGTATTAATTGTTTTAATTTCAAATTTTTTATGATAATTATTTATTTCTTTATTAGCGTTTCATCAAGTCTCAAATCCCATTTTTTTGGAAAACCAAAAAAAAACCCAAAAACTTAAAAAAAAAAAAAAATGCTATTTTACTTCATATTTTGAATCTAATGCCATGGCATTCATACATTTTTAAGTGTGTTTAAAGTGTCCAAATACTTTTTGGGGGCTAGTCTATATGAAATCAGTGTCATTTCCTGTTTTATGAATATAAATATAAATGTTTGTGTCTAGAGTATTTGATTGAGTTCGAGGAGACAGGATCTGAAAGAAAGGAATGGGAGGAGCTAAGCCGTGTGTCAGGCAGCATTCAGCGAACTACCCTTCCCTTGAAGCCCTTCATTTCTTATCGTTTCCGAATCATCGCCATCAATGACATCGGCAAGAGTAACCCGAGCAAGGAAACGGAGGCTTATTCCACACCAGCTGCTCGTAAGTTAACACCGCGTCTGTGAACGCTTCGCCTTGAAAAAGAAAATGCTTGTCCCGCTACATTGTGATGCATTTGTTTTGTCTTTTGAATCATTAGATGACACTTTGAATTTGTGTTTGTATCTTCTCTCAGTGTGTGGCTGATGTAAAGTGACAGTTTTATTGCCATGTTAGAACATCTTGGCACTAAATTATGATTTGTCCTCTACAGCTCCAGACAGCAACCCTGAAGGAGTGCGCAGTGCTTCCATCGACCCAGGCACCCTTGTCATCACATGGGAGGTGCGCTGCACAATTCAGACCAAAAATGATTCTGTCTTAATGCATTCTCTTCATGTCAGTCCAAGACACTTTCACAAAAGAAAGTGAACAGAAGCTTGAAAATGGACAAACAAGTTAGATGAAAGGAATCCATATAATGTACACGTGATGTTGCAGTGTTGGCAAGTAACAAGCAAAAATAAAATGTCCACACTACTAACTTTTTGGTGTCACAAGTATTGGTTTAGCATAAACAACTGTTTTTAAAATGTTTTTAAAAATTAGTATACACGGCTGTCTCTCTCTCTAAAGTAGTGGTGTCAGGTATGATTTATTCTCTCTTTCTCTCCATCTCAAATTATTAAATTTTTTTATTAATTTTTATTTAACTGGTTCAGTTTAAATGGTCCTCTTCTCATATATAGAGTATATGTAGTGTTAGAAAAGTATTATTAATTCTACTGAATTAGTTCATTCTAAACAGTCATCTCACTCTCTCTCATACAGTATGTAATATTGGATATTTTGATTCATTATAGTGAATTAGTACATCCTAAACTATCCAATTTCGCTCGTGTAGCATTGGAAAGTCTGATTCATTCTGGTGACAAAAAAAGGAATCCTTGTACTTATTCCCAATGTTTTGAAATTCTCATTGTTCACAGAAAGATACATTCTGAATCTATGTTCTTGCAGGAGTTGGACAGGCGTAGTTTCAATGGCCCAGATTTTCACTACAAAGTGATGTGGAGGAAAGTTTTGGGCAGCGGTCCGTCCTGGCACACCAAAAACGTTTCCTCTCCACCCTTCGTCATCACAGATGTGGGCAACTTCTCTGCCTTTGACATTAAAGTGCAAGCTGTTAATGAGATGGGAGAAGGTCCAGAGCCCAAATCTGCCATTGGATACTCTGGAGAGGATAGTGAGTTTGTCATGTTGTATATTTTTGCTGCTATTGTTCTTGTGCCTTTTTCCTGACATCTTCTTGTAAGGTTATCTTAATTTACCTCAATTTAACAATGATTTTAGTTAAAATGGAGACAGATGTTTTTAAGGGAATCAAAGTGTGGATGCTCTTTATCCCTGTCAGCCCCTCTTGAGGCCCCTCTGGACGTGGGAGTGGTTCTGATCAACAGCACTGCTATTAAAGTGGCATGGGCGGCCGTGAACAGAGAAACCGTGAGGGGCCGTCTGAAGGGTTACAAGGTAACACTGTGTTGTGTTAAACTCAGCCAAGAATTACAAAATGTAAGATGTAAAATCCCTTCAACAAATTGTCTATCATCCATCCTATAGATTTATCTGAGCCACTTTGACACAGAAAGCAGACACCTCAGACGGGAGCGTGTTAGGGAGGGTAAGCCGTCAAACGTCACGATTGTGACGACGGACAGTAATGAGGAGATGATGATTCTGGGAGGTCTGCAGCCCTACTCTCATTACTCACTGAATATAAGTGCCTTTAATCATAAAGGAGAAGGACCCCAGTCTGAAGCCCTCACCTTCCACACTCCAGAAGGAGGTAAGAACGTGAGACAAAAAGAAATTGTTGAAGAAAAGTGAGGGCTTCAAATTCTGTCATCCATTTTTTTCAGTACCTGGTCCTCCATCGTTTTTACAGCTGGAAAGCCCATCAGAGACAGAAATGATACTGCATTGGTCTGCGCCCAACCAGCCAAATGGAGTCCTGACTGGATATATGTTACAGTATCAACAAGGTGTGTTAACTAACAGCCTGATTCATTCTCATCAGGATTATTAGAATCAGTTTGTTGAGGAGAGGGATATTTGCCTGGTATATAATACAAAAAAAAAAATCCTAGAAATTACATTGAAGGAAGGAAATAATCTGTCTAGACACTCTTTTGAATTAGCTAAGTAAAAAAAAAATGTAAGCATCTAATCAGAACACCTTAGATATCACCTAGCAATGCCCTAGTAACCACCCAAGCACTCAAAACACCTTGGCAACTCTTTAAAAACCAAACTATCAGCTGCATAGCAACTTACAAAACTGTCAAAATACCTTAGCAATTACATAGCAACCCCAAAACACTTAGCAACTGCATAGCAACACACTAAAAACACTCAGCACCCCAGCAACACTTTACAAAGCACCTAGAACACCCCATCAACTGCATAGCAACTAAAAAAAATAGAATATCTTAGCAACTGCTGTTACGGCCAGCTCGTTTCGACCGTACATAAAGAGATACAAGTACAACAAAATGACTTGCAAGTTTTTATTTGTCCTCAAAAATCACAATTAACTGAATATAACAAAGTCTAGGGTTTCAAATCAAAAGGGGAAAATCATAATCCGGTTGGGGAGTAAAAGAAGGTTGGTGTGGGCTGTAAATCAAAACGTTCAAATGACTTCGCCAGAGGCTGTCAGTCCAATGGACGAAGCCCAGAGGAGATGTTTGATCCAAGGTTTTATCCTCTTCACAATTGAAGATAATCAGGTAGCAGGTGTGCGTGATCTCCCACGCTCTCTGAGCAACTACGCCACCAGCAGGCGAGCAAGCAGAACGCAGGGTCGTAACACTGCATATAAGCAAAGCCCTTTAATGCCGGGGACACACTTAACGACTAGCTGAAACATTCTAAGACTGAACTGAACACACTTATAGACTATTTCCAACGAAAAACGACTGTTAACAACGACTAAACGCAACTGTCTCTGACTTGTTTGGGCATGATCAGTTGTATGAAATTCATAATCGGCCTGTCATTAAGTGTGTCCCCCGCTTAAGACAAGTCATTTCACTTGGCGGACATCTTTGAAACGCCTCTCGGGCATGCATCTCCAATCTTTTTGAATAGACCTTATTCAAAGCAGCGCCATGACAGGTATGAAAGTGAGGCTGTGAGGGATAGACTTACCGTGTTTCCAATGGCAACCGCTGTAAAAAGCTGAATAAAGCGGCTAGATTACTTACAATTTTCCACAGCTTACATTGTCGGGAGTTTTTTGTCAACTGACATTTCTTAGAAAGATATTTTTCCAGTGTTTCATGAGCAGAACAATCCGAAAACACATTAAATAACAATACAGCCCATTGAAGAGATGCAAGTCTATCCCTCACAGCCTCGCTTTCATTCTCATTAAAAATCAAAGATGGCGCTGCCGTGAATAAGGCGTATAGGGAAACATCAAGTTCTCCAAAACTGTTCGCCAAGCTTACGATTCAGTTTTATATTTGAAATCACCAATGAAAACGTCTCATAAATGTAGTTTCTTAACGTTTGAATCATGACAAAAAACAGCATTTTTTTGCATGCCCAGTATTAAGCGTGTGTCTCAGAACACTGACGGTTTCAATAGGAACTGGAGCTTCTAACGGCAGTGATGCGATAATTACCAATCAGGGAATGGCTCTCTTCTTTTAAAGGCGGGACTTATTCCACCATATTGCGTGTTGCACTTTCTCTCATTTAAAGTAATATGAGTGCACCATCTTTTTGTATTGGTGATTTCACAAAAATGCTCGGAATGCCTTCGCAACTTAATAGCAACACACTAAAAAAACACTAAAAGTGCTATGTGGTTAAAATTTTAGAACAACTAAATATAAATAACTACTTAATATAAACTCACCAACCTATGTTTAAAACAATATTTTTAACACATTTGTTGTCTCTGCAGTTGATAATGAAGACACCCCGATGCTTGTAGAAAAGATTAGTGACCACGCCAAAAATCACTTCAAGTTAAAGCTGGACCCTCGCAGCCGTTACCGCTTCCACCTGCGGGGATACACGGCTGCTGGAGAAGGACTGCCAATCACCATGGAGGGAGCTACCACACTGGATGGAGGTCCAATACTTTATGCATCACTGAATGATTTATCTGGACATAGAGTTGTATCTAACTGCACATGCGTTTTGAGGGGTTTTACATGATGAAGGAATGTTTTAACCTGTTAACTGTCACCCCCCCTTTTTTTAATAGACATGAAAATGCACATTTCGAACTTAAATGGTTGTAATTCAAGAATGCTTTGGAATATAGACATATGATTGGTCTTGTTTTAAAGAAGACATTTGGCAGATTTTTGTAGAAGTGAAATAAATTAAGAAAGTGAAACAGAAAAAAAGTTATAGAAGTTTGAGTTTATGGAAATGTACAATGTAAAATATTAATTATTCATATTTTACATAAAATATATATTTTCAAAACCTGGGCTACTCTAAAATGGAAGAAAGATCAAAGCCAAAAATCTGAACAAGTTGTGTTTCAAATTTTAGGTTGATATCTCAAAAAATGAGCTTTCAGTAAGATTTAGTTTGAGCGCAGTACCAAACTTTTTCACTAGGGCACAATCAGACTCCATTACTGCCCATATAAGGGCGCCTGCATTTCCATTCCTGTTTTAAGTGATATGAACCATTATTTTCACAATTTTCAAACAATTTCTGAAGTAGAGATCCTATTCAGAAGTAGCATGGGAAGTTTGGCAGATTTTGATATGAATTGAACCTCTAAGAAACACATACAAAGAACACGCATGTAAGTCATAGCTAGCTGACGGTGCAAAATGGTGAATTTATTATTTTTTTCTTGATATTTCAAACTTTCAGACCTTTTTTTTCCAAAATAATTGAATGGATTCTATCTTTTGAACTTTTGGCATGAAAACAAACTGAGGTATCTACCATTTTTTCATGATTTCATGCTATTTTAAAATAAAGGTCTGAACACGCCTTATGAGTATGAAAATATTCTTGTTTTATATTGATAAATTATGGCTCCTCTGTAATATATTTTGAAAATCAGTCACCAAATATGGAAACTAGAGATTGTAAGCTTTCAAATGATATATAGTTTGTCAATATTATTTAAGGTATTTACTAAGATATTATTGTTTTAAAAATATAGTGGCAAACGTCCCACCTGTGGGACGGTGACAGTTAAGTGGTCACACATTTTAAACACTATGTCTTAACCAGACATGATGCAACACACTTCTAGTGAAAAAAAAGTAAATTATTGAATTTATTTTTATGGAATTATGTTACTTTTTCTCACCTTGGCTGGGCTTGTCTGTCTTTTTTTTTTTTTTTGCCAAAAGTTAAATGAATAATCCTCAAGTTGAAGGAAATGCAAATTCATGGGTGTACAGTAGAGGGCGCAGCTCAAACAAACCTTTCAGCGCTCAGTCATTTTGGATTATAGAAGAATGGGATCCAGGAGAGGAAAGTAGGACTGTGTCCCAGTTCAAAGGGTGCATCCTTCAAAGTTCAGACTAAGCGTTGTTAAATGGTTATATTAAACTGAAAACAAAAGAGGGTTCACAAGTTGGTTCTAAATATATTCACCATGGTCCACTTCTGTGTATAATAAATAGTATTAACTATATACAATTGTATCTTAGTGAGATATGTAATTTGAACAGCTTACTTTTTTTTCCTTGTATCATTAGATATTTGACTAAGCTGAAACCCAATACTTACGTTTAAAAGTGTATTTCGGCAAATTCTCTCAAAAAAAAATCCTGTCATCACTGGCGCACAATGAATTCTGGGATAGGCAAGGCCATGAAGGATCCACCTGTTGTATACTTCATTTAATGAGAAACGAAGAATGCATATTGAGGCCCCATGTAGAATGCGGCCTTCGAAGAATGAAGCCTCTTTCCAACAGATTTAAGGGTTTGTAAGTGTGACTTGTTTTGTTTGTGTGTGTGAACAGGTCCACCCTCCAACATTAGCTTATCGATTGGAGAGACATCAGTCAACCTGACCTGGGTGTCGAAAGAAAGACAGAGGAATGTGGGATTCCATATTCATTACCTGAGAGATGGTACGTGCTGTATAGACAGGATGTGATGGAGAATGATTAAGAATTGAGAATGAGATTGAGAATGAACACAAGCTTGTTTATAAAATAGCAAATCAGGAAGTAGCAGCTTTATTACCTGTTCTCTTTGTTAGTTAGTGTGTGCCTCTATATTTTCAGTACCCTTTGATCTGATTTAGATTGTGCTGTGTTCTGTCCAGGCAAAGGCAAATGGAAGCACTCTGAACAAGTAAACAGCTCTCAGTCTTTCTACACGCTTCAGGGGCTCCAGCCCGGATCGCTGTACTACCTGCGGATTGACTCCGGAAACAAGACTATCTGGAAGGATGAGATCCAGACTGCTGGAACAAGTAATCACAAAAGAGCCCTCTTAATGCTTTCTATAATAAATGTGCTATTGTGCAGACCACAAAAGAGCTTTCATGAACACCACATTTGAAGATTATAACTTTTATATTTGGGCTGGAAAATGGAGTTTAGTCTTCGTTTACTCACTTTACCCTCATCTCATTCCAGCCCTGTATGCTATTGTTTATTTCATTTTTAAAAGTCAAATTTGTGTAATATTTTATATACTGTGATTTTTTTTTGTGTGTTTCAAGCTTCAAAAAGAATAAGTAACGTCATAAATGTAATATAAACTGTAACTGTAATATTTTAGAATGTAATTTATTCCTGTGATGACAAAGTTGAATTTTCAGCATCATAACTCCAGTGTTCAGTGTCAAATGGTCCTTCAGAAATCTAATATGCTGATTTGGTGAATAAGTGTTCATTAAAAGCCCAAACGGTAGTGTATGTTTTGAATGAATAAGAGTAAGAGTAAATGATGATGGCATTTCTAACTATCCCTTTAATATCAAACAAAGTGTCTGGAAATTCATAACAGCATTTCTCCCCTCTGCTTAAGTAGAAATGGAGAAACAGGATGGGTTTGTGACTGAAAGCTGGTTCATCGGACTCATCAGCGCCCTTGTGCTATTACTGCTGGTACTGCTTATTCTGTGTTTCATAAAACGAAGCAAAGGTGGAAAATACTCGGGTAAATACACTTGATCATTCTATTTAACCATCTAATTTGCGATTAGTCACCTGACAGTATGAACAAATATGGAAATATCCCTGAATTTTGTTCTCCCTACAGTTAAAGAGAAAGAAGAGGGCCAGATAGACTCTGAAGCTCGGCCAATGAATAATGAGGCTTTTGGAGAGTACAGGTTTGGTGATGTTTGTTTGACAGATTATTGCAGAAACTTCCTTTCTCTTTCTTTCTTCTTATGTTCTTTCTTTCTCTCCCAAATGCTCTTCCCAATGATTAACAGATCTCTTGAGAGGTATGCTTTGCAGTGGCATCGTGTTCTTTTGCATGCGAAACGTTCTCAATACTTTCCCTTGCATGCTCAAAGCTTTAAACTTTTTGACGTCACACTTTGTATATATTTGTAGCTTTATTTGTATCCCCCCCTCACACATTTTGCACAGTGACAACGAGGAGAAGCGGACGGCCAGTCAGCCGTCTCTGTGCGAGGACAGTAAGCTATGTACCGATGACGCTCTAGACGACTACGCCAACAGCAACAGCGTTCAGACCGAGGTCCTCATGGACGAGTCACTGGCCAGTCAGAGCAGCGGAGTCCGAGATGTCCCTGACCCTGAGACTCAGGAAAGTTCCCCTCTAAATCCTGCCACAGCCATCTCCCACCACGGCCTGCCCAACTCCGCCGCCCTCCTTGACTAGCCGGGCGAGACCGAGACCAAACGTGGATTCACACATGTGCCCACCTGTTGCAACCGCTCATGATTTACCAACTGATCGAAAACCCACAATAATAAGACGTACACGCACACAACAGACGCCACCAGAGCCACTGCTGGAACGTACTTCAGACGTAATTGGACCAACACAACACTTTTAACACAGCCAGAGGAAAACATTCGACTGACATACAACAAATAGACTGCCATGCTCGTTGTTTACAGACCTTATCTCTCATTTTACTATATAAAATAGGCTATAGCAGTTTACAGTTATACAGACGTGACAAGAAGAGACTTCTTTGATAACCCGGTGAAACATAAAGTATACACCGAGCTCCTGTGGCAGACACCAAATCAAACATGGAGTCAGATTCACCTGTTAGTCGATAAAGAAGCGTTATGGAAGGAGGGTGCGAGAGAGAAGAAGCTGAGGGCCTTAAAATCATGACTAAGTGCGTTGTGCAAGCATATAGACAGCGTGAGCTGGTTATTCTGGTTGCAAAGTTTAATCAACTTATTGTGTTTTGTGTGTCTACCATTTTGTTTACCATTTTGCCTGAACCATTTTTATAATTAATTTTTTATTATTAATTTATTTTTTTAACGCAAGTATCACTTTTGTGTCGTGTTTTAAAGGTGCTGTAAGCAATGTCAGCCATTATGAAGCTTCCGAGTCTTGGCCACTGACTTAGACACGCCCACTTCTCCAAAACCCTACCCTACAAAGATTTGCCCCTGCTGGTAGATGCAGTAACTACACCATCTGCTACTAACTAAAAACATTTCTCCATCAAAATTTGCAATGTTTTATATGTTAAAAAAATAAAAAAAGAACTAAAAAAATGTATTTATTAGTTTGAATGGTGCCCAATTTCTTTCTTGCTCTTAAAGTTGGCATAAAAGGCACACTGATCTTATTGTAATTGATCATTTCATTTTTCGTTTTTTTTTATATTGAATGAAAACGTGATTTAACAGCATTTTCGTCCGCCTAAACCCCGCCCCTTACTTACAATTAACTGAAGATGAATAGAACCAGTTTCCTGCCCTCCATTTTTTTTTCATTCCATAAATTTTGCTTATGGCACCTTTAAGTCATCTGTACTACGTTGAGTTGTTGTAATATAATCGTGATTCAATGGAAGATACATATCGGCATCCCCTCAGTTACGAATATAGAGTTCCTTAGTGTAAATACGTGAGATGCAATGACATAAGATCGTTTATAGCAAGCTGTACAGATCTATCAATTTAGCCAAATACAGTATTATAATCTCTTTCATCTCCATCGGTTCCTGTGCCTGCCTATGACAACATACTCGCCACCATCATCTCTCATCTTTATTTCTCCCTCTGTGTGTGTCTGTTTTCTGAATTGTATTAAACTGTATTGATTGATTCTCTCTTGCAGTCCTGTTGGTGTAAAGCCATAAGAATACACACGTAAGGTGCGTAGTTGAGAGGTCATATTGAGTTAGACGGGGTTGTGAGAGAGTACGTCACACACACGGTTTAGTTTGGTTACGTAAAATGCAATCATGTATTGGCTTGTGTCTTATTACACAGAATGTATGCTTCGTTTGGGTGGGAATTGTTCCATACCAGTATACCAAATAGCATTTGTTCCCTTTTTTTGCTTTTTGGTTCATTTGATTTGACGTTTAATATAGCAGAATATAGCACTGAGAGAATCTATGGCACATTTGGTATTTCTCAAGAGAGGGGCACAGGGGGAAAAAAAACCTCTGACTTTCCAGATGAATGTAAATATAGCCCACAAGATTGTTTGTTATGACTTTGAAAACTGTCTTGTTGATTATGTTTTAGTTTTTGAAATTTGTTTTGTAACTTTTTTTAACATTAGAGTAACTTGTTAGTTGTGATTTGAGTGTGGTAGATAAGTAGTCCATAGTTTTAAAAAATAAAAATAACTAAGAAAAAGTCCTTTGATAAATGTTGCAGGTTCTTAAAAAAAAAAAGAAGAAGCTAATTTGATAAAAGAGACAAAAAAAAGCGTATTGAAGCTACCGGCAAAACGCGATTGCGCTTATAGTTTCCCGAGTGCTGAAGAATGGCAGTATTGTGCGTATCTGATTAGAATCTATTGCTGCAGAGGCGGTGCGAGAGGAAGCACGCAGTCATCTTACTTTGCACACACACACACACACTTCCAGGGAGCGATGGAAGCGTGCTGACTCGGATCTTTGAGACCACTGTCTTGTGGCGGGTTTTTGCAGTGATTCCCAGCCCTCTGGGAAGGGTCTGCACGATCTGTTAGCCTCCCTCACAAAAGCTGTACAGACACACTCAGGACAAAAGTCTCTTAGAGATCTATTTTCTTACAGGAGGGGGAAGTGATGCAAATTATATTCAACTCCATATTCAACTGAACTGCTGCTAGACGACTTGTGTATTCTGTCAGTGTCTTGACTGTGTATTGAGCTCGGAGGTGAATCGACTCTCAGATATCCACTATACTGCCCTCTGCTACTGCAAATAAAACCGGGTGGGAGGGCACCATTTAAAGCTTGACTAGCGAAAGAACGTTGCCGTTTCTGTTGTTACTTGTCAAATGTACGCCTTAAAGCTCATAATGCATCTTAAACTGTAGGCTTAATGCATAAATAAGCTTGACATAATAGTCTCTTATTCCTCTTGTATGTTCTGTTTGTTACTGCATATGATGTGAAAATAAATGAAGGACCAGATGAATGAGGCTGTGCGACTGTATTGGTCACATTCCCCTGTGGGCTTGTGAAGGGGTCAGTAAAGGGTGGGTTACGGTAACTAGATGTGAACTGGCTTTTGATATTGTATCTGCATCACCAATCAGCCAGTGCAAGTAAATACTTCTTAAATAAAATCAATGGAATCATCTACAGTCGTTTGTTTATGTGAAAATACATTACTACATACAATTTGAAGAAGGCAGCTGTTATCTATGATATCCGTAAAATCTAATTTATGAATGTCAAACATACACAGTGCTTTGAAACCCACTAGAACTTTATTTCTTGTGCAGGAGAAGGATGAAATGGGACGCTGCTTTATCGAGAAGTTGTGTTGAACTGGGTGAAGTACTCAACTTTGGGACGGTTCGTATACAGCTGCCTGTCCAGGTAGTGTTGGCTAAAAAACAAGAACAAAAAAAACAACATCCAAGATTGACTTTATTCTCTAATAGCCACAAGCATAAAAAATAGTTATGCTCACCAAACATGCATTGAACGGTAGAAATAAGCAATATAGTGAAATAATATTACAATTTAAAATAAAGGTTTTCTATTTAATACTATTCATAATATTAAATAATATTAAAATATTTAAATAATTAAAATATTAAATTCGTAATATTTTAAATAAAAATGGCATTGTATTTATTGTATAATTTATTTCATATTTTTCAATGACGCATAATCCAGAAATCATTCTAATATGCTAATTTGGTGCTCAAGAAACATTTCTTATTATTATTAGTATTATTATTAATGTTGAAAACAGTTATGCTGCTTAATCTTTTTATGGAAACCATGATAGTTTTTCAGGATTATTTGATGAATTGAAAGTTCAAAAAAACAGCATTCATTTGAAATAATAATATTTTGTATCCAAGTAAAAGTCTGTTTTACATTACATCTTATATACAGTATAAATACTGTAAATATTCAGTTAGAATGCATTCAAATTGATCAAAGGTGACAGAAGAGAGTCTCTACTGTCACCTTTGATCAGTTTAATGCATTCATATATCCAAGTCAAACAGAATATTCAACAAAGAAAAAAAAAGAATTATTGTCATTACAACAGATTGGAATTATTTGACTATTACTGTAAATAATTTGTGGTCTAGCTGACATCAGCTAAGAAAAGGATTTTTTTTTCAATTTAGATTAAAGAATACAAAAACACTGGAATAATGTACACAATCGAGTTGTACACCTGGAACATTTTATGTTGACTTTACTACTCTTTTGTTTAATTCTGCTTGTGTCTGAATGTGGCACTCACTGCGCTTGCTGCTCTCGTGCCAGCTGTTGGTTGTATTTATCGAGCTGAGCCCTCCTCTCTCTCTGCAGCTCCTTGTCTCTTGTCTCCTCTCTCTCCTGCTGTCTGGCCTGCTCTGTTAGAAGGTAATCCCAGGCCAGATCTCTCTGCCTCTCCATCTCTCTCAGTCTCTGGTGAAATTGGAAGGAGAGAAAAGAGGATTACTTTTATGATGACTATAAATGGATGCTCAAATGTCCATTGCAGGATCTTAACCTCTTTCTCAAGGCACTGTTCCTTTCTCTTTCTGTGGATATCACTGATCTGCTGTGGGGTCATGCCCTTCCAGCGGTCGGTCAGGACTCGTGGACCCTCTGCAGGTGACTCTGTTATTCTCTTCGCAGCCTCTGGTCGTTCTGTCAAGAGGTCAGAGGTCACTGTGTACCGTAGCTCGGCCAGATCCTCTCCCTCTCTCCTCAGTCTCTCTTGTCGCTCTCTCTTCATTCTCTCCTCCGCCTGCAAGGGGAGGTCAGATGTTACCTTGACCTTTCACCTCATAGACCTATGGTGCCTTTTATTTGTGGGGTTTTTGAAATGAAAATTCTGTCATGATTTACACACACACATTTCAAATCTGCATTTTGCACATATTGAACTCAATTACACCTAAAGGCACTGATTCTGTCTCATTTAACCATTTTTTCCCTTTTTGGAGCTTTAAACTCACTATATGCATTTTATGTAGTATTTTATAAAATAGCAGCAAGTGTGTTCTTCAGTATATCTCCTGTTCGAAATCTCATACTGTCTGAGTAGGTACTACATTTGAATTTACTTCGCTAGTGTTAAAGTACAATCTAACATGAATGCGGGTAAAATGGCTGAAATTCACTGGCATTCATTAATCTCCTGTGGCCTCATGGGATAGTAAAGTGTCCATCAATTGGACACTTAAGAATCTTGGTGGAAGTAGTAGAACTTGGACTATTTTTAGAATAACGTATTCAGACATAGTATGTTGGCGTACTGTTTTTTTGTCTGTAATATAATAGGGAAGTATTTGATTTCGGATGCAGCAATGGTTTCAAATGTCATGGGGGTGAGAAAACTGAATTTTCTTTATTTTATTTTTTTTTTTGAGAAAACTAAATGAATTTAGACTGATAACTGTCACATGTGGGGGTTTTTTTGTCTTATCCATATCACATATTTTAGTAATCACCATAAATTAGTTATCATTTGAAAGAGTAAACACTCAAATTCATCCTGTGCTAACCGTGTTTGAAACTGGACTTTGTGTTACCATAGAAATGGTACTTTAAAACATTTTAGTGGGCTCAAAATTTAGTGGGATCAAACTTTTGACATATGGCTTTGATTTTCTAACAATGTTAAGTCCAAATAATTTTTAAAAAATTTCAATATTTTTTTTTTGTTCAGTATATTTGCTTTACAGTAAACGGTTACAGTTTATACTGTATATAGTAATGGTACTCTTGTTGTAGTGTGATTATATAAAATAAGCACTAAATTATATGAATTAACAACATGTACTTCCTATATAATTAAAGGTATAGTTCACCCAAAAAAAAAAAAATGTATTCTGTCATAATTTACATAAGTTGTTCCAAACATTTATGAATTTCTTTGTTCTGCTGAACACAAAGGAAGAACGTTTGTAACCAAACAACATTGACTCCCATTTACTTATGTAAATGATGACAGAATTTTGGGGTGAACTATCCCTTTAATGTTAGGGTTTGGTTTAGTGTTATTTGCTTGTAATTATCATCCACAATTTACTGTTATTACTAGTTTAGATCTATGCTCAAAATGGGGATCACAGTTAACAGGTGAATGATACTAACCTAATGAAAATAAACACAAATGATTGTCTTCATTAGTTTAGCGGTGAGGTAATACTGTACCTGCTCATGGTTGTAACGACTGAGTTCAATGCGAGCCACTCTTTTGCACTCCTCCTCCAGGGCATTCAGCTGCACTGCCCTGAGGTCTTTTTCCACCAACTCCCTGTCGGTTAGCAGCTCTGCATGCACAAACACAGATACAAACTCAGAGTAACCACAGTGAAATATACACACAATACCGTCCTTTCTATTTTAACATTACAGTGGATATAAAAAAGGGGATATAATATTATCTGTTTACCTCTGTTTTTCTTTTCCCTTTCTTGTTTCTCTCTCTCCTCTTTTTGAGCTCTCAGATTTCTCTCGTTCATCTCCATCTCAGCTCTCTTCTTTTCCTTCTCATTAATCCCTTCTCCCTGTCCGAATGTGCATGATAAACATATAGAATATGAATAGAGGTGTCCACAGTGTGACATCAGATAAAACGTTTTTTTTTTTCTATTAGAAAATTAAGTTTTTAAAACTGTTTTAAATGAGAGTATAGAATGAATATGAGAACTTTCTTTTGTGACACCATAGGACTATTTAAATGAGCAACAAAAAGCTAACAGGTGCATACAAAGGAAAACCTAAAATGCATGCAGAAGTGTACAATACAAATAAATATTTATCCTTACACATTCAAAATAAAATATAAATCATAACCTTAGATGCTAATGGAAAATGTCAAGGTCATGTCATTTGTTAATGTAACAGTATCCTATAAACACTAAGTCGTTGCTTACCAAAAACACTTGCATACTGGCGGGTCCTAGGGTCCCAGAGTCCGAGACAGAAATACAGGCATCTGGCGCCTCCTGTCGGTCATAATTGATATCTGCATCACGACTGTCCTCAGCACGTTGATGTATAGCTCGAAACTGTACCATGTCTTGAGCCAGCTGTCTTCGCAACTCATTCTCCTCTTTTTTCTGTTGCAGTGCCGTTTCATCCAGGGATAAGCGCAACAGATCTAAATAATAAAGAACAGATCATAATTTTTGTATCTGACAGGCTCGCCCATAGAGAGCGCTGGTGCGCCGACCTGCCTGCCTGTTTTTTATTTTTATAATCTCTCATTTTGAAAATTAATCTGTGTTTATTACATACTAATAATAGTTTTACTTTAGAATGTATTTAGAACTCTCCAGAATGATATTTGCATTCACTTTCAACGCCGTTACGTTTATCATGTTGGTGTAGTGTGTGATTGTGGCTTGGTGTACAGTTACAAGAGTTTGAGCCTTGTTTATGTTCAAGGCCTTGTCCTTTTGGATATATATCCAAAAGACCATTGGCATTGACTGGTTTGAGTTATTTTATTGGCATAGGCATGGGACAAGGCCTAAAATGCATTCAGAATGCAGGAAAAATTTTCCCCACATAAAAACAGCCTCACATAGAATATTTTTCACCTAATATATTTTTTACCTAAAATAGATTTTTTTTTGTTGATTTTTTTGATCCACTGTGGTAAAATGGAAGCAGGAGAAGCACTATAGGCGAAAAGTTTATATACAAAAAAAATGTACTTAATACTTAAACTTTCGGAGCTGGAGCCGGTTTTGGAACGGTAGCTACAAACTAAACAAGTTGTGTCTCACCATGAGCCATGTCTCGCTGCTTCTCCATCTCCAGTCGATCTCGTTTGTCGTCTTGCTGTTTGTGGAGCGCGGGCACGTCCACGCCGATCACGCGGCTCCTGCTGTTGAATATTCGGCTCTTGCGCTCAGCCTCTGCGGCCCGACGCCGCTCCACCGCCCGCTGCTCTGACTCATCCACCGGCAAATCAACCTTGTACATGTTCTGTCGTGTATAAGCACAATTTTAGATCAAACTTCAAAATCAAACTTCATTATTTTCATCATGTCATTTTATCATGAATAGATAGAGATACCGTAGAGAAACCATACAACTTTACGGGTTAATGTTGGGTTCGATGAACGGCTGTGTTTGTGTCGGCTCTCCTATTTAGTTTGAGGCGCAGTTTGGCGTTGTCAAAGTAACTGCTGCACGGTCTTTGGCGTGCCTACGGTAATGGGATATGCTTGAAAGACATATATTATTTATGTTCATTTATTTTTCCAATTCGGGGTTATTACTTAACTTAACTAAACTAAAACCAAAAAGTTATTTAACTGAAATAAAAAGGTAAAGAAAGTGTACTTGCCAAGGCAGCATCTCTAATTTCCATCACATTGGCTTTATGTACTAAAATAACTAAACTAAAACTGAAATGCCTATACAACTAGGCATATTTAAATAATAATAAAAAAAAAAAACAAGATTACTAAAATTTAAAAATTAAACAAAATATTGATAAAATGATAGTATCCCAAATAAAAGAAAAAAGAAAAAAAAGAAGAAGAACGTAACCAGGCTAATATTTGGTGCTGGAGCGAGTTTCAAAGCAGCTGTCTTTAAATAGTTTGATCTCAGCTAGAGTAGCTCATTGGTATTGTAACATTATTTAATATTCACGACAAATCGTTTAACAGAAGCTAGATTTACACATAGCCTACTGAAAGTATATCTCGATGGTCTTAATGTCTGGAAAAATATCTCGATAGAAGAAAGAAAAACATTTAAAAAACATTTTCTTTGTTTACATTGCGGATTTTGCAGTTGACCACCTGCAAGGCTTTTATTTTGCCTGCATTCTGCTCTAGACAGGGGGCGTGTACACGTCTAGACCTTCATTTCAGTGCATGTTAAGATTATCTTTATCAGATTGTTATAATTTCAGACGTGCAATCTCTGAAAAACGATATGTAACACATGTAGTTGCCAGCTCATTTTAAATCCGCTTGGCTATAGTCACAGAGAAGAAGCGCATCGCCACTGAGACTCTACAGAGCATCATTCTGACACGCCTCTCCTGAGAGAAATCTGTCAGCATGGGATATTTAAAGCTGATCGAGATCGAAAATTTCAAATCTTATAAAGGACGCCAAATAATCGGACCATTTCACAAATTTACAGCAATAATTGGACCAAATGGATCTGGTAAGTATTGTCTCTGGCGCTGATGCAGTTTAATTACACTGCAGTTAACACACACTGCATCAACGAAGTCGCTATGGTTATATTATTAACATTTAAACGTATTATTTTTGGGTGCCAAATTCATATCCCAGAGGTTGATTTTTATATACAAAAATGTCTGTTTTTTTCCCTTTTCGTAGGTCATATTAAAATTGTATTCTTAGAAACTTTTTTTCATGATTTAGAATTTCAGCAAACATTTGAAATTTATCATCATTTAGTTTGCTACTAACTTTCATATATTAAGCTGTTTGCAATATTCATTCATATTATATACTTAAAATCATAAAAATAAAATATTTTAAAAAAATGTTTAGCCTATTTTTTGTTAGAGTGTCGGTGAACACATTTAATGTGTAGGTATCAAAAACTATGACTTCATTATTTATTTTTGCTACTATATTATATTCATATTTTAAGTTATTCATAATATTGATTGTTTAAATAGTCTCAGTTAACATTACTGACCATCAATTTATTCCAAGCTGTGTGTATTTGTTTACCAAGAAGACAAAAGTCCTAGTCTAGATATAAGCCATAGGTGTGTGGAAATATTTAATTTTAATATTAAAATTAAGTCAAATTATTAAGAAAAAAAAAACAATTATTATTATTTCTTTTTTACTTATGTGCAAGCAACATGTGAGAATGAAAATTAAAATGTCAAACATTAAAACATGCCACCAGCTCAAAACCCCAAAATCACTGCTCTCCAGGGAAGTCAAACCTGATGGACGCCATCAGTTTTGTATTAGCAGAGAAGACCAGTAACCTGCGCGTTAAAACTCTGAAGGATCTCATCCATGGAGCACCAGTAGGAAAACCAGCAGCCAACCGTGCCTTCGTGAGCATGGTCTACTGCGAGGACAATGGAGATGAATGCACTTTCACAAGGGTCATCATTGGTAAATGTTCAAAATAAAGCTACTAAATTACTGAAAGTCCTGAAATTTGTTACAACTTCATGATAGTGAACCCCAAAAACTACAGTAAAAAATCTTTAAAGTATTTATTTTCCTAGTGAGATTAACAATTTGTATGTTACAGGTTCCTCCTCAGAGTACCGAATCAACAATAAGGTGGTCGGGCTTTCAGACTACAGCGAGGAACTTGAGAAACTGGGTATCCTTATTAAGGCCAGAAATTTTCTTGTGTTTCAGGTATACATCCTGCTTTTTTAGACCTCCTGCTTTTTTAGAATTATACAAATGATAAGATATAGTAGATTTCGTCTGTCTTTGTGTTTTTGTTGTGCAGGGTGCAGTGGAGTCGATAGCCATGAAGAATCCTAAAGAGAGGACGGCTTTGTTTGAGGAGATCTCCCGCTCTGGTGAGCTGGCCCAGGAATATGACCGCAGAAAGAAAGAGATGGTGAAAGCAGAAGAAGACACGCAGTTCAACTATCACCGCAAGAAGAACATCGCAGCAGAGCGCAAAGAGGCCAAACAGGAAAAAGAGGAGGTAAACTTACTGCACCACAAGTCTACAGTGACACCATTAATGCATTGTTGTTTAAACCTCTGCTCTCTGTTCAGGCTGAGAGATACCAGAGACTAAAGGATGAGGTGGTCAGGGCTCACGTTCAGCTACAGCTCTTTAAACTCTACCATAATGAGGAGGAGATCGAGAAGCTGAACAGAGAGTTGTCCCAGCGCAACCGTGAGATTGAGAAGGACAGGAAGAAGATGGACCATGTCGAGGAAGAGCTCAAGGAAAAGAAGAAAGAGCTAGGAAGAATGATGCGAGATCAGCAGAATGTGGAGAAGGAGATAAAGTGAGTGATAGGTTAATATATTATATATATAAATATATAGTATTGTGCAAATGTCTTTAGTATCTGTTAGTATTTTCACCCATAAAAAAGCTTTAAACCAGTTATTTATATCTTTTGCGGTAGTGTGTCAGTAGTAAATATCAGTTTAAATTTACAAATGTAATAATCTGACAATAGCTGGTATGATCCACATGGAGATCTGATCTCACCATATACTATTATATATAGTATCTACAGTTTTGGCCAAAAGTGATCTTTTTGTTTTTAATCGATTAAACAATCAAATTATGAAGAGTATGTTATATTTTGAGGAACAAAAGACCATTGTACAAAAATATTTGGCAAAAAAAGGTAAACTACAGCTACAGTATTATTTTACTATGCAAAAAAAAGCTGATTTTGCATGATTTCTTTGTATGACAACAAAGCATATATATATATATATATATATATATAAATAATATAAATAATATTTATAAATATATAATATAAATATAAATAAATAAAAATAAATATAAATATAATTTATTATTAATTTAGAATTTTAATTTCAGGTTTTGTAAATTTAGTACATAGTTGAAATAAAAAAATAATAATTAATGGTTTTATTTAACTAGAATAACCCTGTATTAGACCACAAATTTGCTAAAGAAGTACTTCTCTAACCTCCTTTAGAGAGAAAGATGCTGAGCTGAATCAGAAACGGCCACAGTATATCAAAGCCAAGGAGAACACTGCCCATAAAATTAAGAAGCTCGAGGTGGCTCGAAAGTCTTTGCAGAACGCCCAGAAGATGTACAAGAAGCGTAAGGCAGACATAGAGGAACTGGACCATGAGCAGGGCGCTGTGGAGATGGCAAGGCAGGAGTTTGATGAACGGATGGAAGAGGAAGCCCAGAGTCAAGGCCAAGATCTGACACTTGAGGAGAACCAGGTTAGCCGAACTCGGGAAATCTGAAAGATCTAACTGTGTTTAAATTTCAGTTTCATTTGACACTTTTACTGTTATCTCAGGTGAAGCAGTATCACAGGCTGAAGGAGGAGGCCAGTAAGCGGGCAGCTACCTTGGCACAGGAGCTAGAGAAGTTTAACAGGGACCAAAAGGCCGACCAGGACAGACTGGATCTAGAGGAGAGGAAGAAAATTGAGACAGAGGTACATTGGGAAATGATTATTAACTATTTTCTTTTGTGCCTTTGTGAGACACAGATTTCCTAAATCTCTTTCTTTGGATTAAAGGCCAAAATAAAGCAGAAGATTCGAGAGATCGAGGAAAACCAGAAGCGCATTGAAAAGCTGGAGGACTATATTGCAACTAGCAGGTGTTTCAGAGATAATTAAAAAATCAATAGCTCCAACTCTAAAATCTGAATTTTCAGTAAAATCAGTGTGAAATTTGTATTTTTTTTTTAAATAATATTTGATATACACCCAATTGTGAAATACTCTAATCTGTGTGTGTGCATATATATATACACACACACCTGGTTATATTTAGATATTGAAATGCACATTTAGATAATATTTATTTGTAAACGTAATATATTTATTTAAAAAACAATGTCTTTTTGTTACTGTCATATTACTGTTGCTATCTCTCTAGTGACTTTTCAAATGACTTGTTTGCTTCACCCTTCAATTTCTTGAGATGGAAAACTTGAATTTTGAGCCATCTCTGCGTTTCTCTCATCAGGCAGTCTCTGGATGAACAAAGGCGTATGGAAGAGGAACTGACTGAGGAAGTGGAGCTGGCCAAAAGAAGGATTGATGAGATAAACATGGAGTTAAACCAAGTAATAAAACACACATTGATTTACTCACTGAAATATCATCAATACTTCGTTTTAATTTCTGTGATGATTCTGGTCACAGGTGATGGAGCAACTTGGAGATGCTCGTATTGACAGGCAAGAGAACAGCCGTCAGCAGCGCAAAGCTGAAATTATGGAGAGCATTAAGCGGCTTTACCCCGGCTCAGTGGTGAGTTGCTGTTTATATACACAATTTCAATTTTAGCTTGCAACAGAAGCTTGTAAGATGTCCACAAAGAGCTTTCACTGTATTTATTCCGTTATTTGCACTTAAATCCCATTTAAATGTTTGTCCAAACAGTATGGCAGACTGATTGACTTATGCCAGCCCACTCAGAAGAAATACCAGATTGCAGTGACCAAAGTCCTGGGAAAAAACATGGACGCCATCATTGTGGACTCTGAGAAAACCGGCCGAGATTGCATCCAGTACATTAAAGAGCAAAGAGGAGAACCGGAGACCTTTCTGCCTCTCGACTATTTGGAGGTACAGACGGATTTAAATAAACGATTCATGAGTTGAGGTCTGAATTCTCCACAGCGTTGAGTGGCGAGTGGGATGTGTTTCACTGGACGCATGCTTCTCTCCCTCAAGGTGAAACCCACAGATGAGAAACTGAGAGAGCTTCGTGGGGCAAAGCTGGTGATCGACGTGATCCGCTATGAGCCACCACACATAAAGAAAGCCCTTCAGTATGCCTGCGGGAATGCTTTAGTGTGCGAGAATGTGGAGGACGCTCGCAGGATTGCCTTCGGAGGACCATACCGTCATAAGGTTTAAATATGTTGTATAAATTGAATATACTGTAAAGCACATTCTGTATGAAAGGATATCTTGTTCAAACTATTCATCTTCAATTCTGTCTTATTTCTTTCACAGACCGTGGCCTTGGATGGAACTCTCTTCCAAAAGTCAGGTGTGATCTCTGGAGGAGCTAGCGACCTGAAAGCAAAGGCTCGGCGTTGGGACGAGAAGGCTGTGGACAAACTTAAGGAAAAGAAAGAGAAACTAACAGAGGAATTGAAGGTGGCACACAAAAGAGCTTCAGGGAAACTTCATTCACTGCTGGAATGTAGGGCTGTCACAATCATTTAAATTTTATAAAAAATATTATACTATTTAAAAAATGACAAAAAATATAATAAAATGACAAAATAGTTTTATAAAATCAATAATAAAAAATATTGATTTCCATTACCACTGTTATATATATAATTATAATATATATAGTAATTATTTATAATAATTATCTATGTAATTTATATAATTTGTTTATATTAAATTTGGATAAAAATTAAAGGTTCATGTGAATCATCACAATTAGATAAAATAATATTGATCAAGTGACAGCAATAATCATAATTCATTCATTTGTGAAATAAAGGCATAAGTATTGTGTGAAAGTACATTTTTTTAATTTACTTTTTTAACAAGCCGGTTTTATATTTTTGTCTCCTCAGGAACAAATGAAGGCAAAGAGAAAGGAGGCAGAGCTCAGACAGGTTCAGTCTCAGGCACACGGGCTGCAGATGAGACTCAAATACTCTCAGAGTGATCTGGAACAGACCAAAACTCGCCACCTCTCTCTGAACATGCAGGTAAACCTGAGCAACAACGCCTCAGTCAAGAAGTGACTTCAAAATATAGAGGATTCAGATTTATGCTATAAGATGTTACAACGTGTTTGTCAAAATTTGTTTGTCATTGTAGGAGAAATCAAAGTTGGAGAGTGAGCTGGCAAATTTTGGCCCACGAATTAATGACATAAAACGAATCATCCAATCACGAGAGAGGGACATTACAGAGTTACGAGATCGCATGAACCTGGTAAGAGCTCTGGTGAAATGAAGAAATGTTGCTTTGAATTGCAACCAGATGTGTAATAATTCTCTAATAATGATCATTTGTTATGCCCATTTATAGGTGGAGGATGAGGTCTTTGTTGATTTCTGTGAGGAGATAGGCGTGCGAAATATCCGAGAGTTTGAAGAGGAAAAAGTAAAGAGGCAGAATGAGATTGCCAAAAAACGGTGACCCTCTCAAGGACAATGTACTATACGGGTTACCAACACCTCAGTGGACTGTAATGATCTAACTTGTGTTAAATGCAATTCTAGGCTGGAGTTTGAGACACAGAAGACCCGTCTGGCCATCCAGCTTGATTATGAGAAGAACCAGTTGAAGGAGGACCAGGAGAAAGTGATGATGTGGGAACAGACTGTAAAGAAGGATGAGAACGAGATTGAAAGACTTAAAAAGGTGACCGAGAATAGAGGAGAAAAAAGTCTTGACAAGCAAATCAGTCAAATCTTTTAGCACGAAAAACTAAACAGTAACTCATGTCATTCCCCACCACCTCAGGAGGAACACAGACATATGAAAATCATTGATGAGACAATGGCACAGCTACAGGACCTGAAGAACCAGCATCTCACTAAGAAGGGAGAGGTCAATGACAAGAACCGAGAGATGGAGGAGATCCGTAAGAAACTAGGCTCTGCCAACAAGTGAGAAATATTCATATTCTCTTAAGATCTTCTCAAATGTAAAGTTAATAGATTATCATTTATTAGTGCTGGTCACATGCATGTAGTGTAATATTAAAGTAATGTTCTACATGTTTGTTATGTTAGAGAGCTGACGCAGCTGCAGAAGGAAGTAACCGCCATCGAGACCAAACTGGAACAGAAACGCAGTGACAGACACAACTTACTGCAAGCCTGCAAGATGCAGGACATCAAACTACCCCTCAAATCAGGGACAATGGATGACATCAGCCAGGGAGAGGTACAGACAAACACATACTTTACTCACACGTACTTCTTTTTTCAATCATAGACAAAAAGTACACACCGATATGTCCACATAGGGAAGCTCGCAAGTTGAGGATTCGATCAGCAGCCCGAAGGCATCAAGTTCTGTGCATGCCAAAGAGGCCCTCATAGAGATTGACTACAGCAACTTAAATGAGGACCTCAAGGTAATTTAAATTGATGAAGTATCATGAATTGGTTGTTTGACAAGCAACATGGAACAATCAAAAGCTATGTGAAACCTTTCTAAAGGATTCTCTGTCAGAGGATGAGATCAAGGCAGAGATGAACACCCTACAGCAGAGGCTGAACGAGCAGCAAAGCATCCTGCAGAGAATCAGCGCTCCCAACATGAAGGCCATGGAGAAACTCGAGAGCGTTAGAGACAAGTTCCAGGAGACCAGTGATGGTGAGCCCAAAAGTCTAGGCTCAACTCTCTCTTTAGCTAATCTTGACTCTGAGAAATCTGTGACCTGTGACAATAGTATGTTGAGTCTAAGGGCGTTTTCACACCTGAAAGTCCGCACCAAGGTCCGAACCAAAGTTCACGTTTTGATACATTTTATACTTTCAGAAAGTTTTGGTTTGGTTTCTTGCGTCCTGTCGTCATCATCTATGTGGGCTGCATCTTGACATTGATGGGTTTAGTAAATGGACGTGCTATATTGCACTATATTGCCATTTTCATGGCATAATTATCTGGAGTACCAACTATACACAAGGCTAGTTCAAATTTGCCAAAGGAACGTCCTCATCGTGCGAACATTTTATCGTTGCCGGCAGGAAAGGAGGAGAAGACTGCAAGTTGACTTCTTATGTCATCAGAACATTAACATTAAAAACCTCATCTTCTCATCTCACCGTATGCAACCACAGCTCATTTTTCCTGCCAACTTCTGTTTTTTTGGCTTTTTGGGAACAACCAGAACTTCCTGTAAAAGGTCTAAAAGTCCGAACCATACAGAAATGCTTTCACACTAGAAACGAACCAAACCTTTGTTCAGTTTGATCCGGACCGAGACTACCTCTTTCCGTCAGACCAAATTTCATCTGTTTGGTGCGGGCCGTGGTCCAGGGGAGGTTTCACTCCTGTTATTTTAATTCGGACCAAACTGAAAAGTCAAAAAGTCCGGACCAAACAAGGTAGGTGTGAAAGGGCCCTAAATCAGTGGCACTCAACCTTTTTGACTTCAAGACCCCCATTGACAACGGTGCTTTTCACCTTATTAATATACAGAAATCAGGAGTGGCAATTGAAATAAAATAAAGAAAATGATTGTATAATTCAAATAATTAAATTCCGTAATTAAAAATTTTTAATTTGTCATTTTTTACAGATAAAATAAGAACTATGTCCGTTTACATCTTGATTTCAAAGTTTATTTTGTCGTCTTTCAAATCATTTTAAACCCCACCTGGTCCCCTGGTTGAGAACCACTGGTCTAAATAATAACCCATCTACTTTTAATATGCCTTTCAGAGTTTGAAGCTGCTCGAAAAAGAGCCAAGAAAGCCAAACAAGCATTCGAGCAGATCAAGAAAGAGCGGTTTGATCGTTTCAATGCCTGTTTTGAGTCTGTTGCCACCAACATTGATGAGATCTACAAATCGCTGTCACGTAACAGCAGTGCACAGGTTAATAAAAGCACTCTGAACTCCCTCTCTCTTTTTTAAAAGATAATCCTACAATAACGCAAGTAGGATTTCTAACTTAATTTAAGGGATACTCTATATCCTTTCAGGCATTCCTGGGGCCAGAGAACCCAGAAGAACCATACTTAGATGGAATCAACTACAACTGTGTGGCTCCAGGAAAGAGGTTCAGGCCCATGGATAACCTGTCAGGAGGAGAGAAGACTGTGGCTGCTTTAGCTCTGCTTTTTGCCATTCACAGGTGCCATTTTTGCCATTCACTTTTCTTTTTTTCTTTCTTTAAAAGTAAACTAGTTTGTTTTGGACACCCTTCAGATTAAAAAAAATGCATTTCCGTTCCTTCATAGCTACAAGCCTGCACCTTTCTTTGTCTTGGATGAGATTGATGCTGCTTTGGATAATACCAACATAGGCAAGGTGTGTGTTTGCTAACTTGTAGGAAGGGCTCTTCCAATGCAAATGCATGGATGCAACTAAACTGAATGGCGTAAATATAAGATTTGTATTTAACTTCTTAACCTGCAGGTGGCCAACTACATAAAGGACCAGTCAGTCCAGAATTTTCAGGCCATTGTTATCTCTCTCAAAGAGGAGTTCTACACAAAAGCTGACTCCCTCATAGGAGTTTACCCTGAGGTTTGTATTCCAGCAATGGGCTGTATTAATATAGACCATTTCACAAGATGTAAACGACACTGGTCCAGAAACACTTCCTGTTTCAGTTTGTAACTGTTTTCTTTATTTCACATGTAAAGATGTTTGTTTAACTTTTTGATTCAGTTTTAAATGTTCTGTTGGTTGTATTTTATCCCAGCTTTTATGTAGTGTTAAAAAACTGAAACAGGAAGTGCTTCTGGACCAGTGTTGTACATCTTGTGAAATGGTCTATAAACATATCAACAGTAGTTAATGCATACAAGTGTTCCAGTGAAATAAAACCCATCCCAAGCTTATCATTATATTGTACACCTTTTTTTAGTTTATATATTAAGTTGATTTAAAATAATTATAATAATAATATATCAAACCTTCATTTATTCACAGCAAGGAGATTGTGTCATCAGTAAGGTGCTGACCTTTGATCTTTCCCAGTATCCAGATGCCAATCCCAATCCTAATGATTAGGTTGTGTTGATTTGAATTTGTTGGTAGACAGCTGTGAGATTGATCAAAAGTATCTTTTAAAAACATAATGCTAATCATTGATGTTTACTTTTTTTATATAATGAATGTTGCTATAATAAGTGTTAAATTGTCTGCTATATTGTGTTCCAAATAGAATGCATGATTGTGCAAGTATTCAGTTGTTCTATGAATATTAGATGTGTATGAACAGCTTTTCATGTTCAGTCAACTAGATCAGTGTTATGGGTAATGTTTTGTTTGCACTGTCTCTCAACAGAGAACATATGATCTGCCTATTGTCAAGTGTGCCTTGTGGATGATCCGTTCATTCAGTATAATGTAATGATCAGTATTTGTGAAATGTTTTTTCTTTTTTGTCTTCATGGGAAACTATGTTATGTGTAAACAGTATTCAAACTGAAAAAAAGAGCTTGTGTCATGTGCTAGTCAACGTGATTTTGTCAGGTAAGACGTGTTCTTGGATCAATATATTTTGTTGATCCTGGATCAACATTCCTGTCCCAAAATGTAGTCCTTACACATTCCCTACCCCTAAACCTAACCCTACCCATAACTTTTCCCTAAAATCAGACGGTAATGGTAGGTGAATAACATTGATGTTTAAGTACTTCACCCTGATTCTAAGCTTAAACTTGACATAAACTGTAAATTGTCCCTCAAATCTGATTGGTTGATTGGAAAGTTGTTCCAGGATCGACTAAGATGTTGATCTAGGAACATGTGGTACTTAGTGAAATCACGTTCACCATCTTGTGCTCATGGCACGTTCCACAAATATGGTACACAAATATATACCCTATTTTGCAGGATTATAGGCATTATTATTATTATTCCCATGATTTTTCCAATAATTCCCAAAAGTAAGAAAATAAATAAAAAATAAACCATCTGAATTAAAACTTAGGTTGCCTTTTCTGAGGTTGATAATCAAAATTTTCTGAACAGCATCTCCTTTCTTCCTATTGAATCCCTTTGGTAAATCATCATTAAAAAACGTATTCTAATGAGTCATAATTATGACCCTTTTTTAAAGACATAATCATGACTTTCGTCTCATAATTACCACTTACTATGTCGTCATTTTTACTTTTTATATCATAATTATCACTCTTAGTATGTCTGTAACTCCTAATCCTGGGCTAATCCTATTGGCTAAGACCTATCTGTGAAACCAGGGCAGTATGTCATAATTTTGGTTTGCCATAATTCAACTTTTTATCTCATATTGATATTAAAAAGTAGAATGCTGTGGTATATGTCGAAAAATAAATGAGTAGTATAGTTAGAAAATAGCTTCTATGTTTAACAGTTTCAGGGCCTATTTTGTACCCTATTCGTGGAAGGTGCCACAACTGTGGCTAAATGTTACATGGAACAAAAATAAATACCAGAAAAAGAACACATTAAACTTGTAATTAAATAGATAAAGCAGAGCACACCCTATGGCACACCTGACGTTCCCACTCACTCAGAAGCAAACACCAATTTTCACGTGGGCTCACCCTCACCGGCACAAACCCAACCATGCTTGCACAAACATGCCCCGCCCTCATGACTGTTGCTTACGTCAGCTATCTCACATTGGTCGCCTCTTATTTCTTATGTTCGGTTGCACTGCAGAGAACGCCCAACGTGTCAGTCGGCATTCAAGATCTCCACTCCGGTAACTCCTTACAGTGGACTGGTTTGATCAGATTAAACCCACCGCTGCTCAGATTTAACACCCCGGCAATGGACAGCATCAAAGACGGGTGGTTTACCGAGACATGCACATTATGGCCAGGCCAAGCGATGAGTCTTCAAGTGGAGGAAGTGTTGCATCATAAAAAATCCAATTTCCAGGACGTGATGGTTTTTAAAAGGTGAGTTTTTTTGTGTGTAAAGTGGGCTATTGGTCACAACTAATGCGGAGAACGCTGTGATTACCTCACTATTCTCGGAGGTGTCAATCCACTCAATACAGCACGTTGGCTTATGGCTGTCTTGCTGTGTGGGTGCTGCGGCTAGCCGGCTAATTGTATAGCCTGATGTAGGTCTGGCGTGGCAGAGTGTTCAAACTATGAGACTGCTTTGCTTTTGTACTTTAAACGTATATTTTACGTAAACCATTACATTGCTACAATTTCAATGGGTCAGAGCGTTTAAAATAGACAATCGTGCTTATAATAATTAGCTTTAATAGTGTTGTACATGCACACTTAAAAAAGAACAGCATGTCCATGGCCTTTTCTGCTGTTTAAACACTTATTCCTGCTGTACTGGTGATCTACTCACTGGCTCAAGGCAGTAAACTGTAACTAGAGTCATTCATGCTGTTAAAAATACAAATATAAGGTTGAAGTTATAGTTTCTGCCCTGAAAATCAATGCAATTTGCACATGCCTAAGGTGTTGCCCAATATAATATGTGATGAGAGGCCAGCTGTCATCTCAAATGTCACATGCTTTGTTGCAATGCTGTATCCGTTGTGCTTGATCTGTTTGCGATACCTTTTCATTGCTTAATGTATTAAGAAAGATTATCTTGAATGATTACATAACTGATTTTCTTTATACAGTAAGACGTATGGAAATGTGCTGGTTTTGGATGGAGTCATCCAATGCACAGAACGAGATGAATTTTCTTATCAAGAAATGATCGCCAATCTACCTCTCTGCTGCCACCCTTGCCCAAGGAAGGTGCGTACTTTCATATTTGTGCTTCATGTAAATTTGATTTGGAAGAACTGAAACTGGTTGGGTGTTTAGTTTCTATATGGTACAGTATTTGGTTTAGTTGTTTTCCTCCTTCCTGTCGGCAGGTTCTCATCATTGGTGGAGGAGACGGTGGCGTCCTGAGGGAGGTTGTCAAGCATCCGCTGGTGGAGTCTGTTGTTCAGTGTGAGATTGATGAGGTTTGTATCAAGTTATGTCTTGAATGTCTAATAAAGGACAGTAAAGACATTCTCTTCATTAAAGACACCTTTTCTATTCATCAAATAGTTCCATCATGGTTTCCACAACAACATTTAAGCAGCTGTTTTCAGAATTGCTGATAATAAGAAATGTTTCTTGAGAGGCAGATCAGCATATTAGAATGGTTTCTGAAGGATCATGTGACACTGAAGACTGGAGTTATGATGCTGGAAATTCAAATCCAGCTTTGCCATCACAGGAATAAATTACCTTTGAAAATAGAAAATAGTTTTAAATTGTAATATTTCACAATATTACTGTTTTACTGTATTTTTAATCAAATAAAATGCTGCCTTGGTGCATTTGAAAAACATATAACATCAGTTTACCATCTATGTGTTGAAGAGCTTCTCAAGTCTCATTTGTTTTCCTTCATGGCTGTTGTTTGCTTTTAATTTATATATTTACATTTGTTCAGTCTTGTCTTATTTCATCATAATGTATTGCACCTTGAATTTCATGGATCACATTTATTCCCAGGATGTAATAAATGTCTCCAAGAAGTACCTCCCTGGAATGGCAAAAGGCTTCTTCAGCCCCAAACTTACTCTGCATGTAGGTGATGGCTTTGAATTTATGAAAAAGAATCAGGATGCCTTTGACATCATCATCACAGACTCATCAGACCCTGTCGGTATGCAGCCCACTGTGGCGTTGAAGTTTCTTTTTTTGCATTGGTAAATCATGATTTAGCCATTGACTCCCAGACAAAACATGTTCATTTGAGGCTGATCTCATTTTACCCTGTCACAGGTCCGGCTGAAAGCTTGTTCAAAGAGTCTTACTATCAGCTCATGAAAACGGCACTTTGTGAGGGAGGAATTCTTTGTTGTCAAGGTAGACATAATTGTAGCACTAGAAAAAAGCCCAAAATAAAGAATATTAGTGACGCATGTTTGTAATTTTCTGCTGTAATTTTACAGGAGAGTGTCAGTGGTTGCATTTGGAGCTAATAAAGGAAATGCGGACCTTCTGTAAGACCCTCTTTCCTGTAGTGGACTATGCATACTGCACCATTCCAACATATCCAAGCGGACAAATCGGCTTCATGCTTTGTAGTAAAAATCCGGTACGGTTTTTCTGTTTTATTAGCTTTTAATAACCGCTTTTGTTTGAAAAGCTTTACAATTCCTTTATTACTTTCACACATGTTGTTGCCATTTATACACTATCATTCAAACGTTTAAGATTTTTTCTTTTTGTTTTTCAGCAAAGATGCATTAAATTGACCAATGAATGACATTAAAGACATAATTATAATGGTACTAAAGATTTCCATTTCAAATAAATGCTGTTTTTTGAAAAAATAATAATAATAATAATAATAAGCAGCAAATCAGTATATTAGAATGATTTCTGAAGGATCATGTGACAATGGAGTTATGATGCTGAAAATTCAACCATCACAGGAATAAATAAAATTTTTAAATATTAATGTATTTAAATTATAATTGAGAACAGTTATTTTAAATTGTACTTTATATTGTACTTTATTACTGTTCTTACTGTGTTTTATCAAATAAATGCAACTTTAGTGATTACAAGAGTTTGTACAGACCCCAAACTTTTTTTATAATAATAATAGTAAGTGTAATTAATGAATTTGTTTATTGCAGAAAACAAATTTCCGTGAGCCAATACGAGAACTAACAAGAGATGAAATTGAGAGCATGAGCCTGAAATATTACAATCCTGAAATCCACCGTGCTGCATTCATCCTCCCAGAATTTGCCAGAAAGGTGAGATACAGCCCATTGTTTTCTATTCCTTTTGCTCTTTACTTTGCGTTCTTAAGGAAAGTTAAATGACCCGTTGTTTACACAGGTACTAAGTGAAGCGTAAATGGTTTCATGGGTGCCATCTTGTCAACACGCTGCCTTCTGTGAAAGCAGAACCAAACCCCCAGAGCGCATCCCTCTCCAGCTTCATTTTGATTGGTCAATGGATGGCTACAAGTGCAAATGCCTTCTGTGGGGGACATTCTCCGTTTCTCTGTCCAGTTCCATCAGTGCTTCTGTCAAGTCTTTTGAGTTGTTTGGTTTACTTTTACAATTCCATTTCCCACATCAAAGCTTTAGAACTATAGAAACAGAAAACCATGCATGTTCTGTGACCGATTGCACAGTACTTTCACACGAGGACTATCTCTTACTCGTGTTGAGCAACGTAAAAAAACAGGACAATGTTCCACCAGAGCTTTTTTGGCATTACTCACTCCGCTAAGAACAGGTATTTTAAATAAACTGCATAATCTATACACCCAGAGACTTAACAGGTCAATAACAATTCTAAATTTTCTTAACATGCAGTATTAAGGTTTCATATTATGGGTCAGTATATCCACACTTAACCATTGTCAAACAAAAGGAAATTGTATTTAGTATTGTAATAATTTCTAAAACTATTACTCTAAAAGTGTTTTCATTTTTACCCCGTGAAGGTGGACATATGGATCTCTGATTGACTGACTTGTGTGTTCTGGCTCTCATGAATAATTCTGATTACATGATGTGGTTTGTGTAGAGCAAATAGATGTTTGGTAGGCTATGCAGCCTTTTTGAGTGAAATGCTATAGTGTATTGCAAACGTGCTTATGGTCAATGGACTCTAGGATGGAACGATTTTGATATGTCTTAACATTAGAAATACTGGACTACATTGAGACGTCTTAATTTTGAACATAATTATGGAGGTATGCTACAGGACTAAATAACGAACTTTTTAGGCTAGTAGGACAAACTATTTTATACTCTGTTAAGTTTTACTGGGTAGAAATGTTTATCTGTCCTTTTACAATTTCATGTTGTAAATTTCATAAATAGTTTTGAAATAATAAAAAGGTGTAATCACATTTTGGTATTGATTTTCTGTTCAACGAAACGGGGAAATCTTCAGACTGTACAAAACGCGTCTCTTGGATGTCGCGAGACTCGCTACTCAACAGGTCCCGCTCCGTGTAAAACAGGCACTCCATAGCGTCACAATGTCCGCAGGTAAGTTACACCACTAGTTTCCGAAAGTACGAGGTTGTGTTGCGGCATTGACCACCGGCAGCTCTCTCTACTCTCTCTCGTAGCCCTTTCACGGAGCTCCGGCAGCTCTTGCGTCAGTATATTACCGCTCTAAAAGATAAAACTGTATTTAACATAAACGGTTCGTCGCTAATCCGCGGCCGCCATCTCTTTGGTGTGTATTTTGTGGAAGTCTCTTATTTATTTATTTATTTATTATTTTCTCTGTTGCATTCAGTGCTTTCTTCCTAAAAACAATGTACTATTTGAGATTAAAAAGTCACAGTTCAGCTCATTTGGCACCTGGTTTGACTGGTCGAGACTGTTTTTTTTTTTAAAAGATGGCTCCTTCCTGAACAAAATATCATCTTATTAAACTGTCTGTACACTTACAACGTTCTTAATGCTTCGGTTTGCATGTAGGGACCCTCATTATGCTATTCTGTTAGTGTGGAGCTATGTTGAGCCTTGTTAGTGGTATTAAATTAGCGTTATAACTTAAGCTAAACAGTTTTTAGAGATAAAACTCTTTATATTCGATTGTCATGAAAGCAAGAACGGTTGACTAGGTAGGTACCAATGTGTTGTTGGGTTCATTTTGCGCCGGAGTTCTCCTTTAAATGCAGTGGACAAGTAATTGTAAAGTGCCTTTCTAACCACTAGATGGAGTCATTGTATGTAAATTCAGCCTGCCAACATCCTGCTTTTATTCGATCGCATGGATGAAAGATGTTTCTGAAGGTTATCAGGAGGAGTCACTTTTCAGGGTAATATTTGTAGGCTCTATCTGTGCTCTTTATGTGAATTTGTACCCTTTTGCTCCGTCGTCAGTTAAAGCGTCATCATGTTGTAAGTAACGTTAGCCTACTCTATTAAAAGTATGTCTTGTTTGACGCTGTTGACTATCGTGTTTAGATGGCCAATTACGCGTTTTATTGCCTCGCCAGGCTTCCTCTAGTTGTTTTGAGCTTTCATCTTTTGTCAAAATATATTCACTAGGCTATAAAATGCATCGCTATGTGCACTTTAGAAAAGTGTACATTCGTTAGATTAGTGTTTGTTACAGTGAAGTGAGTGAACACAGTAAAACTGCTATAAAACTATCTTTAACTTTTTATTGTAGCAATAAAGTAATTGTAATCATTGTAAATCATGTTCATTGAAATGTAAAGTTTGTTGCAGATTATTCATTTTAGTATTTATTAGGTCTAACATGTGAGTATGTTTGCTTGAAATGATAAGCTATATGAGGCAGTGTTATTTTAGTATAATTCAGATACAATTATTGTTTTTATTTACATTTTGAATTAGTTTTTCTTTTTCATTTCATTTTAGTTAACTTTTTAGTAAGTTTATTGTGTGTTTTTGTCATTTTTATTAGTTTATTTTATATAGTTTATAAATTCATTTAATTTTATTTCAGCTTAAGTTATTTGTGTTGCCAGTTAAATTGACTATATAGGAAAAATCCTATTGTTGAAATTGATTGCATGGTTATTTTATTTCAAGTAACAAAATTGTTTTTCTAAATGGTTTAATTCTAGAATAACCCTGATATTAAGTCAACAAAACTCCTGCTGAGACAACATGAGAATGTGGATTGCCATTTTACTCTGACGCCAGATATGTTTGAAGTTGGTTGGGAAGTGGACGTCAGATGTTTTTTGCATTGGTCAATTGGCATGAATTCTTCAAACGCACTTTATCACAATTCGGCTGTGGGCACCCGCTCATCTCACGACTGTGTTAATCTCTACAGAGCCCCGGGCCCTGAAGTCTGCCCTAATCTGTCTGATGTGAAAAATGTGCTAAAGCGCGTGTATTAGGGCTTCTAGCTACATGTACTCAGTCAGGGTGTGTGTATGCATATCCAAAGAGGTGTGTGGGTGCCAGGAAAGCTGACCAGAATATGAACAACTGGAGCCAATGACCAAAGCATGTGCTTCATTTTCGCTGCTTAACTCGGCTACCATTTCTCATTCTGGTTTAATTACAGAATACAATGTGAATACACATTGACTGCGTAGGCATGCTGCACAGCACTTTTGGCATTGTGCTATCAGTGTTAAAAAAAAAGTCACCATGAACTGAAAATTCAATTTTGACAAATTTATGAAAATTGCAGTTGGCTTAATTATTCATTTTTGTTTGTTTCCATTCATGCGACTATGTAATTCAAAACATTAGTGCTCCCCTCCCCTTGCCAAAACATTTCTCTTCTCAGATGACGTGTGGGACAAAAATTGCTCCAGCAACCTTAGCAAAACGACAAAAAACGACAGAAAAGAAATTAAATTACCAATGGACAAAATCAAGCCCTACATTTTTTTTTCTTGTTCGAGAGCGTATCACTTGGAAATGCGTCACAATAGGAAAGAAAAGATTATCACTATTTTCGTTTCATGTCGACTTTAATATTCATAGTTTATGCAATGCCTGCTATGTTCATGTTATAAGGTTCAACTTAGATTCAATGCAACTTAATTACATCCGACAGAATTTGCAATGCTGAATAGCAAGAAAATGTATTTCAATTGAACCCTTGTTACAGTGAGGGCCAAAAAATGTGAATCTTGTAATTTCATGAAAGCATAATTCCTCTGTTAAAACTAATTTATTGCATGTCTGAGCTCTAAAGTCTGAGCTCTCACAATTTTATAGTAATTTTAGTTATGTTATCATGGCAACAAACTTGTAAATAAAATTGGATATAACACCGAAATGTTCAGTAAGTGATTTTATCACTCTGAAATTATGATAACACACAGATTGTTAATGTCTAGATTCTAGAAGCTATTCTTTTGAAATAGTGAGTATTTTCATGTTAGGGATTGGCTGTAATCACTTCTATTGTAAGTGCATCATTGCTTTTTTAAAGAGAAGAAAATTGTTATTATTCTGTAATGGGATTTGTTTAAAGAATACTGAAAAAATCTATACCTAAAGAGACCGGTTTCCATGCGATTAACTTGTCTCTACATTATATCAGCTTTTTTTCATGAGATTTACCGCTGTAGTGTTGACTATTGAGCCACTATTGAGTATTGAGCCATAATCTCTTTTGCTTTTTGTGTTAATGTTTGTCTCACTACTTGATATACATGGGAAGATCTGCGGTTACGTTTCCATAAAAGACTTAATTCTTGTTATTCAGGCCCTTTTCATCAGTCGATCAAAAGCATCTTCTTTTCCCGAAGACAGTTTTCTCAGCTGTTCCAGGTGCCAGACGGTTCAATGGCAATCTGAAGGAGAAGGAGGGAGGAGTTGTGCCCAATTACACGCTGGAACGAGAGCATACTGCCACTGACTGTACACAGCAGAATGGGTTAGTTTGATTTCCTTGTATTGATATCACAATGCAGCTAAGTGAGAACATCGCGTAATTACAGTGTATGTCTAACTGTGTACTTTCTAAAACATGATTCACCGCCTGCCTGCCATTTCGCACCTCATAGATAATTAGCATAAACAATGAAACAACTTTTCAGAATCACTTCACGTTATCGGTAGATCCGTCGTCGTCAGTGTTTTTTCTCCTCGCATCCGCTTTAACTGAAATCAGGACCATTTTTAGAGCTATGACGTGAGCATGGTGGCGCAGTCCTCCCCACCGGCACGACGTCTGGTTTGTTGGGGGGGTTAAACTACTCAATGCTTTTGTCGGTTCCTAAGCCTCCCACTCCCCCCACCCTCTCCCCTCCGTCCTCAACCGCTGCGTCAGTAGGGGACTGGAACGAGAGGTATATAAGGACCCCGCCACCTGAAGCTCTCAAAGACCAAGATCTCTCCAGCTTTACTCTGCACTAGGAGCTACAAGGACTTTGAAGTTTCCTGCTTCGCTTCTCTGACTGACCTTTCTATCCACTTCAACTATTTTGTCAGCATGCAGCTTTTGGCCAGCCTTGTGTCTCTCATGTTGGTTCTGTATAGCGTCAGAGCTGCAGCTTTGCTTCCAGTGGAGGAGAGGAACCTGGCACAAAGTCGGGTGAGTGGCTGCAATGAGCTTTCTATGTTTTTCATTGTTTCCAGTTGTAGCGTTTATGGGTTTACCAAGCAGATGCACGTATTTTAGACACATCTTGATGTTTGCCATCCAATAAACAGACCATTCTGGGGGAATTTCAGTAGCCACATTATTGTGAATAGCTGAAAATAAATTTTACATGCTAATTCAAGTCGAGTTTCTTCCTTACCAGGAGCTGAGTAAAGACCGTAAGGAGCTGATCCTGAAGTTGATCTCTGGGCTGTTGGATGGAGTAGACAACAGCGTGCTGGCTGGCGAGATAGCACAGGTGCCCATGGATGCGGAGGAGCCCCTGGAGTCCCGTCTGGAAGAACGGGCCGTCTACAACCGGTTATCACAGCTGCCACAGCGCGACCGCAAAGCCCCCTGCAAAAACTTCTTCTGGAAGACCTTCACATCGTGTTAACAGCGCCAGTCCCGTAACGATCCTCCCTGATACCTGACATGAACTGTGTAGACCTCCACTGTACATACCATCTCCAGTGTCTGAAGAAAGATCTCTGTGGACCTACTCTGACACAGTCTGTTTGTTAAAGACATTGATGATTATATTTATTTATTGATCTATTAAGCTATTTATGGACCTTTGTTGTTTTGCAGCATTAAAAAAAAAGAATAAAGCATGGTTAAGATAGTTTCTTTTTTATAAAAGATGTCTCATTTACTGTGGTCAACATTGAGAAAAGCATCTAATTACTATGTTTACTGACTGATAAATAAATGTAATTGATCATGGAGCCAGATGTATTACAGATGATGTAATAGTCCTATAAATGTTTTCCCAAAAGAAGAAATCACGTAAAGTCTATTTGTTAC